CATATTGTAGGCTGCAGTCCTTACTACCTTTAAAATCCTGCCGGAACATAAGCTGTGGGGTCAGTTCCATCTCTGTGGCACACAACATTTTAATCTTAGAACCCCTAGTGACTCAGTGGTTAGCACTAACTTGCTAGCCAAAAGGCTAGTGGTTCAAACCCACCAGCTGATCCAAACGAGAGAGATGTAGCAGTCTGCTTCCAGAAAGATTGTTGTTGTTAGGTGCTATTAAGAGAGCTCTTGGTGGCAGGGTCTGTTGAGGCCTGCGCTGCTGACCCAAAGGTGGCATCTCTCTGGCAGTTCGAATCCACCCTCAGCTCTGTGGGAGAAAGATGGACAGTGTCCTCCCATGCGTGCTCCCGTCCCTGACAGCCCACTGGAGGGTCTGCTCTGAGTCAGTTCTGACTTCACGGCAATGAGGGGGTTTTAGGTGCTGTCCAGTCAGCCAGCGTCACAGCGACTCCCTGCTCCACAGGTGAAAGCCTTACAGGTCCTGCCCCATTGTCTCAGCATCCCCCATGCTCAAGCCCGTTGCCCCGGCTGCTGAGCCGGAGATTGTCCTCTCCTTCGCTCAGCCTCTGCTTTTCCACGCTTGGTGTCTTTTTTCCAAGGACCGACCTCTGTTGCTAACATGCCCAAAGTTTGTGCAGAGAAGGAGCGTGGTATATTCAGTACTATTTGTCATCACAATTCAAAGGCTTTGAACATACTAGATTTATAACCCAGAGATCCATCAGCTAGACAGATAGCCACTTTGGAAACCCTGTGAGCTGCGTGTACTTGGACTTGCAAGGGCTGTTCTGAGTTGGATTCAACTCAGGACTGGTTAGCAGCTTAGTACCCAGAGGAGTTCAGAGGTAGAGTTCCCACCTTTTGTAGGGGAGGCCCCGTCCTGTTGCTGGTCAGGCGTCTGCAAGTGGAGACCTGCTTGTTCCTATTCTGCTAGACAGGTTTAAGCAGAACTTTGAGGTTAGGATTAAATATAGGCCAGAAAGAAAGGCTTGGGGATGCCCTCCAAAAAAAATCAGCCAGCGAAAGCCTCATGGCTCACGGGGATGGCAGCTGACCCGGAACTGCTTCCTTCTGTTGTGTGTGGGGTCACCTTGAGTCTACATCCTGAGGTAACCACTCTTAACAGCTTGCTTTGTTCCATTTCCGTGCTGCTCCTCAATTTGTGCACGTTCTGTGTTGTCGAGTCAGAACTGACCCATAGCTGATCCTCTGTGGATTTTCACAGGCAATAAATCACACGGGCGGATCCTTCTGCCATGAGCAGTTGGTGGATTCGAACCGCTTACCTTGGGGATTGCAGCACAGGTTCTTACCATTGTGCCACCACAGTTCCCTATGATTCAGCTTACATACAGCAGAACAAAATACTGCCCCCAGGCGAATCCTACCACAAGCAGTTGGTGCCTTCGAACCAGTGCAGCTTCTTACCACTGCATCACCAGAGTTCGCTAGGAGTCAACTCACATACAGCAGAACAAAATGCTGCCCATGCTGTACCATCCTCACACTCTCCACTGTATTACGCCCGTTGTAGCCGGTGTGCCAGTCCATCTCACTGAGGGTCTTACTCTTTCTCACTTTCTGCTTTTTCCAAACATGATGTCTTTCTCTACAGACTGACCCTCCTGACATACCTGGAGTTTGTGACATGGAGTCTCACCGTCCTTCCTTCTAATGAGCTCTCTCTGTACGTCTCTCCAAACACACCCTGCTTGGTTCTTTTGGAAATCCCTGGAATAATCTTCCCAGCCACGACTCAAAGGCCTCAGTCCTCCTTCAGTTCCTTATTGTCATGGTCCAGCTTTCACGTGCACACAGAGCGGTCGAAAAGACCATGGCCTGGAATTGAGTGACTCTCAACACGGGGATTTGTGTTGGTTGTAAGACATTGAATTCATCTCCAGTGTAATGAGTTTTTAAATGCTTAGGCTGCTTCCAGTTGATGTTTCTCCACTCTTTTAAATAATATTGAGAGTCTTTGAATATACACACCTTCACAACTCTATCTGATGACTTTATTAGGACATAGTCCTAGAATATGATGATAGAGTCAAAGAGGATGAACATTTGAAAGCTTTTGATAGCCACAGAGTTCTCCAGAAATGTGTGTCCACCTTTCCCTGGTACAGGTATACTTCATGTTATCATACTTGACTTTATTGTTCTTTATGAACCCTGCTTTTCTTTTTTAAAATTTTTATTGTATTATTTTTACATGTATCGTCAGGAAATCAAAAAGCGTATCGCGATGGGAAAGTCTGCTGTTAGGGACCTCTCTAAAGTACTCAGGAGCAACAGTGTCTCTCTGGAGACTAAGGTGCTCCTGATACAGGCCATGGTATTTGCAATCGCTTGTTATGCATCAGAGAGTTGGACAATGACTAGGGAGGACAGAAGGAGAGTGGATGCTTTTGAGCTGTGGTACTGGAGAAGGGTACTGAATGTACCATGGACTGCCAGGAAAACAAACAGATTCATCTTGGAGAGGATTAAACCAAGCAACTCCTTGGAGGCAAGGATTCTGGGGCTTCATCTGACATACTTTGGACATATTGCCAGGAGGGACGGGTCCTTGGAGAGGGACATCATGCTTGGGAGGGTGGAGGGACAGCGCAGGAGGGGAAGACCCTCTATGAGATGGATTGATTCGGTGACTGGGGTAATCGGGATGGGTGTGTCAGAGGCGGTGCGGTTGGCGCAGGATAGAGCAGGGTTTAGGGCTGTTGTGCATAGGGTCACTATGAGTCGCAAATGACTCGACGGCACATAACAACAACAACAACCATCAAATCAGATCTGCCTGGTACAGGAGGAGATTACCCCCTTCTCCAGCACAGCATCTGGTGGATTTGAACTGCGTACCTCTGGGATTGCAGTGCAGCGTCTTGCTACTAGGCCACCAGAGCTCCCTTGCTTTTTTTTTTTTTTAAAAAAAAACAAAACAAAACAACAAAACACCTTGAAGATTGTGGCCGTCTTGCATGGAGCAAGTGCCTTGATGCCGTTTTCCCCACAGCGTATGCTCACTTCATGTCCCTGTGTCGCCTGCAGGTAATTCTCAACAGTGCTTCACATTTTTCTCCTCAATGCTAGTGAATGCTGAGGGAGCTCTAGTAGCCCTAGTTGGAAGAACATGTCCTGCAATCCCAAAGGCATACAGTTCGAATCCACCAGCTGCTCTTTCTGGGAGAAGGATGTGCAGTGTCCTCCCGTGAGATTAACAGCCTCTGAAAACCCACTAGTGGGTCAGCTCTGAGTCGGTTCTGACTCAGTGGTACCCAACAACAACACTGTAGGTTTAATTAACTCAGTGTAGTCAACAGAGTTTCAGTACGCACTGAGAAACCGAAAAGTTCAAGTGACTCGATTTATTGCAGTGGTCTAGACCCAAACCTGCAGTATCTCCAGCCACAGTTTGTGGTGATGGTGTTGGGTGCCATCGAGTCAGCTGTGACTCACAGCATCCCTGTGATAAAGGGCTCTGAACCCTTCCCTGTCCTGCTGCGTCCACACCATCTTTGATGTGTCTGAGTTGGTTGTGACAGTCACAGTGTCAGTCCACCTTGTTAAGGGTCGTCTTCTCTGGCCCGCCACCTTTCCCAGTGCAATGTCATTTTCCAGGAACCGGCCCCCCTCCTGACAGCATGCGCGAAGGATGTGTTTCATCCTCTTTTCCTCTGAGGAGCGCTCTGGTTGGATTTCCTTCAGGACAGACGTCTTTTTTCTGTCGGCAGCCCGCAGGGTAGTCAGTGCCCTTCACCAGCACTGCAGCTCACAGGGATCCGTTCTGTCATCCTTAGTCATTGCCCAGCCTAAAGGCACATGGTTCGAATCCACCAGCTGCTCCATGGGAGAAAGATGGACAGTCTCCTCCCATGTGATTTACAGCCTCTGAAAACCCCCTGGAGGGTCAGCTGTGAGTCTGTTCCAACTCGATGGCACAGCTCAATGACATACAAGGACCACAGGACCCTCGCTGTATGAATAAGTGTGTGGTTTTGTCGGGAAGCCAGGTGCACGCATGGTCAGCTGTGGTTCTAAGAAAGTGACCGCTCACCTGGCTGGTCAGAAGGGGGAATGGCAGCAAAACAAGTCAGTGAACAACCTAGTTCAGTCCTGTGCCCACATTTTTGGGGGGGGAAACAACAACAAACAAAACCAACCCCAAACCAGCTTTTAAAATAAGATCTCTAAAAAAAATCTCTTGCTTTTTAAACTTTTTTGGGGGGAGGGCAGTTCTCTATCCTAAACTTTCCTCAATTATTTGCTTACTTGTTTTTCCCTAAGCTGACCCCAGCCCCCCATTACATACAAGTCCATTCAGAGCAGCTCTCTCTGTAGGGCAGCGTGGAACCATCCCGTGGGGTGTCCGAGGCCATGGTTCTTCGTGGAAGCTCACTCAGCCTTCTCACTCAGCGTCGCTAGTAGGTTAGAACCTCTGATCTTTCAGGTAGTAGCCAACCAAGCACTTAACCATTGAGCTACTACTGTTGCTGTCTGCTGCTGAGTCAGATCTGATCCTCCAAATCTGGGCTTTCAGAGAAAGTAAATCATGTACAAGATTGTTCATCCTTCTCCAGCAGAGCAGGTGGTGGCTTTGAACCCTGTGCCTTTGGGATTGCAGTGCAGCTGCTTCTTACCACTAAGCCGCCAGAGCTCCCTTCTGTGTGACTGCTGTTAGGTGCTGTGAAGTCGAGGACAGTTCATAGCAACCCTACAAACAACACATCTGACTCATTCTGTAAAAGAGACCATCATTTTTATCAGAAAGCAAAACCACCCTCAACTCAACAGCCACAGTTGTTCTAACCTGTCTTAGAGAAAACACCCCTCATACAGCCCTTGACCCGTCATCGCTGGTCAGTCTGACCGTGTGCTGGGCCAGCTCCCTCACCCCTGTGGACGTGGTGATGTGGACAGTCAGTTGCTCAGACTGGAGACGCCCTGTGTCCTCTGCTGTGTCTCTCCCTGGCTTTTCTCCTCAGCGCACAACCTTGTTGTTGCAGGACCTGGTGCTAGAGAAGCTCAAGAGCCAGCAGCTGACCAGTGAGCTGGACAAACTGAGCCAGGAGTTGGAGAAGGCTGGTCTCAGCAAGGAGCTGCTTCTGCAGGACAACAGCCCCGACCACGACACGTGAGGACAGGCTCCCCGGGGCGGGGTCAGGGCACGCCCCCGTGTCACGTGGTCAGCAGCCTCCGTGGGTCCTCCGTACCACCCGGCCACGATGCTATCAAGGACCAGAGTCCTTGTCCTTTCTGCCCACATCTTGAACCTCGAGCCCCCCAGGGATGACTGGAATAGATTCCTTTGTCCAGTAGGAAGACTTCCTAGTTTTCTTTAATTTGATTATTGTAGCTTTTTTTAAAAAATTAATTTTAATGAAAGTTTACCGAGACTTAGGGGTTTTTTTGTATTCATTGTTGCACTTCTCTCCCTGCCCACCCACTTACCCCCCCAATTCACTCTTCTCTTTGAAAAGTGAAAGAAAAATTCTTTTATTGTTACACAGTCTCTCCCCCTCAAATCCACTCCACTGAGGAGCCTTTATTCTGGACTCATGTCATGACAATAATACCTAATCATACATCCCTTTTAAACAGTTTTTTCCCTCATCTGTTTCAATCCAGTATGCATTATTTATCCCCTCTTTCTCAGTCTCTACCCCCCAGCCCCGATGTCCCATTTTACAACAGTGGCTTTGTGCAGTATTTGTTCTTTTTTGACTGAGATACTTCACTCAGCATAATGTTCTCCAGGGTCATCTGTTTTGTATAATATTGCATGAGTTCCTTGTTTTTCAATGCAGCGTAGTATTCAATTGTGTGAATATACCACAGCTTCTCTATCCATTCGTTTATTGATGGGCACTTGGTTTGTTTCCATGTAACTTCTTCTTGCATGGCTCTTTTTAAAGTGATCTAATTTTTCAAGGGAAATCAGTATCGGGCTTTTTCTGGACTTCTTAACTTACAGGATTCGTGTGTGTTGGTAATAATATGGGGTTTCTTGTGGTGTACCTTGCACAGAACGTCTAGGCTTTCTGAGACTCAGTTTCCCCATCTGTAAAATGGCCATAATATACTTAAAATGACTGTAGCATTGCAGCAGGGGTACTGCACCTGACGGTGCTGCAGGTGTGTGTATTCAGGCATCTGGTGGAAGGGCTCTGCACAGTGTTTTTGGCTCTTGCAATTGGTCCGGGCTAAAATTTACAGGATGGTGAAAGAAACCAATGTCATGGCCGGAGGGTTGTGTCAAGGAGATTGGGGGCTGGTGGGTGTGGAGGCAGGTAAGTGATACTTTTCGTGATCTTGTATTTTCTCAGAAAATACAAGATTTTGGAGGGCAGAAGCGAATCCGCATTAAAAACAACGCTAGCCATGAAAGAAGAGAAGATTGTGTTCTTAGAAGCCCAGATGGAAGAGAAAGCAAGCCTCAATCACCAGCTACAGAATGAACTCCAGATGGTAAGAGCTAACCGTAGTAGGCATGATGGAGTGCTGACCTTGTCGTCCTGGGGGCTCAGGCAGGTGACAGGGCTCTGCCTCACTTGAGTTTTTCAGGCGAGGCCAGTTTGGTCATTGTCTTGCATGGGGCTGGTTGGGCTGTAGGGTCAGTGAGCGTGCTGCCCTCAGATCCTAGGGCCAGGAAGGGTAGCAAACGTGGGGAGTCCACAGGACTGTGGACACTGGGCCCTGCAGAGTTGCTAGGCTCCGTCTGGTGGGTCCCACAGTGCACAGGGGCATGGAGGACGTGTGCACACGTGGTCAATGCCAACCTTCCATCTCAATACTTGGCGTGTTTCTTGACTGCATGATTGAATAAGATATGGTGCAAAGCAGTTCTAAAACTGGCAAGGCCTGTTGAGATCACCTGGTCCCTACGTCCCAGCCTCCCCTCTGTTTTATGGAGGCTAAAGGAAACAATACTTTCTCACAGTCAAGTGGGTACAGTAGTCCCCAGTCCCCCAGCTCCCAGGCCACTGCCCTTCTTGTCACCTCTGGAACGGAAGGGCAGAAATAGCTTAGAGAGAGTGGTCGGTGTGCAGAGCAGTGGGCTTGGGGTCATCTTCTCCTGCCTCCCGGCCTCGGGCTCGTGGCTTCCTGACTCAGGCCCACATCCTGGCCGCTGGTCCTGGCAGGTGAAGAAGGAGTGTGAGCTGCTCAGACAGAACCAGGACGAGGACAAGCACCCGGCCAACTCCTTCAGACATCCCACGGGTGACCACGCCAAGGAGGCCTGGGGGCCCAGCCACAAGGAAGCCACGATGGAGCTGCTGCGTGTGAAGGACCGAGCCATCGAGCTGGAGCGGAACGTGAGTGCCCACCCTGGCCGCAGAGGCTGGAGAGGCCGTCCTGTTAGTGCTGACGTTACTGCATGGACTCGGACGGCAGTCAGTTGAGGTTCAACACAAGACTTAATAGGAAGGAAACTCAAAAAGTGGGACAAGGCTGCCTTCAGGGTTTCTGACAGGAAGGACATCCTTTTCCTGTGGTGAATCGCGCTGCCCAGACCATCACCTGGCCTGTGTCTCTCACCCCAGCTCTGTGCTGGACCAGGCACACTGTAGCCATCCCTCCACCTGTATTTGCCGGTGTGTTTTCAGAGGAACACAGCCATGCCCTCATTTTATGTCATCTTGTCTCCCGCTACCTCAGTAATTGTAGGCACAGCACAAGGCCACGGCCCACGTGTCCAGGCCCAATTGGATGCACTGTGCCCGGCCTTTCTTAGTCCCTTATAAGGTGGTGGGCCTGATTCTACCTGCTGTCCTTCCTGAGTGGGATGAGGCTGTCTGCTTTAACTCTGCTGTGATGGGCCCACAACCCTAGTCAAGAGAATCAGAGCCTCTGCCTTCCACTCATAACCCCCAGATCTCTCCACCGTGCGTGCTCTTTTCTTTCTTGAAGGCCCATACGTGTCTGGCTTTCTATGTCCTGTCTTTTTCTGCAGGTTGTTGTGTACCATAGAGTCAGAACCGACCCATAGCTGACCCTCCAGCAGGTTTTCGGAGGCAGTTAATTACTTGGGAGGAGACTTCCCCTCCTTCTCCCACGGAGCAGCTGGTGGCCTTGAACTGCTTACCTTCGGGATTGCAGCGCAGCTTCTTGCCACTAGGCCACCAGAGCTCCCTTTCTGTCCATATATATATTTGTATTTTTAAAAAAATTATTTTATATTGATTTGCATACTCTGCATATATTTTTTAATATTACTTTACTGGTTTTGGGGTTGTTTTTTTTTTTTGTTTGTTTGTTTTTAGTTTACTGAGCAGCTTACCCAGCTGATCTTGCATGGGTTATTCGTTGACATTGGTTCAGGATGTGTGCACCTTCCCATTGTTTCCCTTCTAGTGGTTCTGTTTCCATTAGTCTAGTTTCCCTGCTCCCTTTTCTTCTTTGTTTTAAGGTAATAGTTTGGTCTCATGTAGGTGATTTTTCTTGAAGGACTCTAGTACTTAAGAGATGATGCTCATTAATTTTGGGTCAGTTTGTTATTTAGCTTGAGATGGCAGAGGGGATGGTGCTCAGGTGTTCATTTTGGTTCAGAGTTTGCAGAATGTCTCCATGCTGCTGTACTCTGGCAGCCTTCCAGCTTCAGACAGTACTGTCTGGTGGGTTGATTTGTCTTTGAGGTTTTATTCCATGGGTGTGTGTGTGTGTGTGTGTGTGTGTGTGTGTAAATCCATATACAACCATATAACACACATAGTGTACATGGAAAGGTAACTACAGGGGTGTGTATTCTTTGCCCTTCCCCCTCCAAAAAACTATAATAAGTAAATTTTTTGGTGTGAAAACAGGTGTAGAGTTAATCTTTTGAGTTGTCTTTTTCATTAAAGTATATTTTTATTTGTTGTTGTTGTTGTTGACTGCCTTCCACTCGAGCATGGCTCATAGCGACCCCATGAGCAAAAGGCCTGAAGCCCCTTTACAACTATTGACATTTATCAAAGTTCGTAGAGTTTCTAGAGGCATGTTGTTTAGGAAGTGGATGCCACTCCTGCTTCCAAACCTGTCATAGTATGTTATTGTTGTTACGTGCCATTGAGTCACCTGCGATGCATAGTGACCCTATGTACAGCAGCTCTGAACCCTTACCTGTCCTGAGCCAGTCTCACGAACTCTGATACGCCAACCCCCATCGCCCCAGTTACTGTATCAGTCCGTCTTATCCGGGGTCTTTCTCTCCTGCACTGTCTGTCTACCCTTCCAAGCATGATGTACTTCTCCACGGACGGATCTCTCCTGGCCATGTGCCCAGATTAGGTGAGGCGGAGCTTCAAAATCTTAGGCTCCAAGGAGAGAATTGGTTCTCCACGGACGGATCTCTCCTGGCCATGTGCCCAGATTAGGTGAGGCGGAGCTTCAAAATCTTAGGCTCCAAGGAGAGAATTGGTTTCTCCCTCTCCTAGACAGACCTTGTTTCCTTGGCAGTCCACGGGTGGTGCCCTCTCATGGGAATTTACAGCCTCTGAACCCCCCCCCCCCAGAGGGTCTGCTAAGAGTTGATTCTGGCACTGAGGATTCACTACAGTAATAATAGTTGCATTTGAGAGATATTTTTTCCCCCAGTGATTTCCCAATATTATATAGACCTTTTAAAACCAAGTACTTTCTATGTTCTATGTTACTTATGTTTCCCTCCAAGATACCTTTAGTATCTGTTTTAGCTTTACACCTGTTGAATGTCTTTTTAGACAGAACTGTGCTGCCCCTACCTGATGGACCCTGGTTCTGCCCCTGTAAGCATTGGCACCTGGGGTTAGTCACAGCTTGGGTGCCGGCCTCCAGCCAGCCTGCGTCCAGCTGGGGCCCAACCTGCCTCTCGCTCTCGCCCCTAGAATGCGGCGCTGCAGGCGGAGAAACAGCTGCTCAAGGAACAGCTGCATCACTTGGAGTCGCAGAACGTGGCCTTCAGCAGTCAGATCCTGACGCTGCAGAAGCAGAGCGCCTTCCTGCAGGAACACAACACCACGCTGCAGACCCAGACGGCCAAGCTCCAGGTGAGAGGGGAGGCTGCAGGGGTCCAGACGGCCAAGCTCCAGGTCAGGGGGGAGGCTGCAGACCCAGACAGTCAAGATCCAGGTCAGGGGGGAGGCTGCAGGGGTCCAGACGGCCAAGCTCCAGGTGAGAGGGGAGGCTGCAGACCCAGACGGCCAAGCTCCAGGTCACGGGGGGAGGCTGCAGACCCAGACAGTCAAGCTCCATGCGAGGGGGGGAGGCTGCAGAGGTCCTGACAGCCATACTCCAGGTCAGGGGGAAGGCTTCAGGGGCCCACGGCTTGTCCAAGAGGCCAGTCTCAAGCACACACTCCCAGCAGAAGCAGGAGGCAACTTCTCAAAGCATGTAACAAAATTTAAAAAAAAAAAAAAGCCCCTCTAAAGCCTTGCCTAGTCTAGCCACAGGATCTTTGAATGTGGGAATGGTTTGATTGAGGTCATGTTTTTTACTTGCACCCTGTCTCTGTTTTTATGGGATCAAATAAGTTCAGTTAAACAGTTAACCAGGTTTCTCAGCTGTAGAATTCTAGAGAGCCTTTTTTAAGTAGTGTGTTCCGAGTCTCCACGAGGGAACTGGGGTATCAGCAGTCCCCCCAAAGTTGAGAACATACGGTGGAACGAGGGGTCTTGCCTCTGCTTTTAGGGAGCTGCTTGTTAACCACGGCTAGCAGATTCTTGAAAACACGTCGTGATTTATTAATGCTGTTTCCGAGGAAAGCATTGGGAAATAGAGCAGTGGCATGAGAACAGTATGCAGGAAATGACTTGCCAGAGAGGTTGGATTTGTTTTATTAAAACAAGGAAATCAAGGGCTTTTATGGATTCTGTGGAATTGTCTACGGAGCAAATCGTTTCATCTGTAAATCGAAATGAATTTTCTTTTTTTCACACTGAGATGCCTTTTCTCCCTCCGCCTCACCTTATTGTACTGACCTAAGTCTCCAGCACGAGGCTGAATATGCGTGGTCAAAGTGGGCATGCTTACTTTGTTCCAAATCTTCAGTATCTCGCCATTGGTCAGAACCCATGCTGTATGTAGGTTTTCCACAGCTGCCTTTTATCAAGTAAGGAGAATGTGTGTTTTGCCGTTTGCTGAGAATTTTAATCAGGAATGGATATTGGATTTTGTCCAATGCTCTTTCTGCATTTCTTCATGTCTTTTTTTTTCTCTAGTGTCCTAATTTAATGAGTTATACACTATTTCAAATGCAAAACCAACCTTGCATTCCTGGGATAAATTTCAGTTCCCATTATTTTGTCCTTTTCACACATTGTTGGATTTGATTTGCTAACATCTTCTTCATTCAAAAACACATTTTTAAAAACATCTTTGTGGGTAGAGGATCTCCCCCACCTCTTTTGTTAAGAGTATGATTATCTGGTTTTAACATCAGAGTATTTTCTGACCTTACAGAAAAGTTGGACATTCCTTCAGTTTTCTGAGTTGGTATCATTTCTTTTTAAAAATATTCATTGGAATTCACAAGTGGCATCACCTGGGCCTGGTGGTTGGTTGGTTTTTGGGGTTTTTTTAATTTTATTAAAATTAATTTTAATGAACTTTTACAGAGATTGTGGATTTCCGTACATTCATTGTTGCATTTTTCTCCTTGACCACCCTTCCCCCGCAGTTTGCTCTTCTTGGTTTGTTTTTTTAATGAGAAGAGTTATAACTGCAGTATAAATTCCTTTACTAAATAGACATAAGGGAGCTCTGGTGGCTCAGTGGTAAGGAGTTGCACTGCCAACCCAAAGGCAAGTAGTCCACCAGCTTCCCTGTAGGAAGAAGCTAGGCAGTCTCCTCTCACGCAGTGTACTGCCTCTGAAAACCATGGCATGTCAGCTTGAGTCGATTCTGACTCGGGGCATGACGATGACGAGAAGTAGACATAGAGCTCTCTGAGTCTTCTATTTCTTGAATGAATGTGGGTTGTTTGCGTCTTTCAAATAATTTGCCCACTTTATTTAATCTTTTCACGGCAATTACTTTTTGCTTTGGATTTTTGTTGTTGTTGCTCTAATGGGCTTCCAGTAATGGAAAGCATGCAGAAATCAAGGGAAAGGTTTCTTTGAGGTAAGAGGGGTTTTATATTTGGTTATATAGGACACACATGTCCCAAGTGGACTCTGGTGTTAGAATTGATGGAGTGAGGCCCTTTTCTTCAGATTCATGCATCAGGTGACAGTGTTTAGTACAACTAGGATAGCAGTTTCCCAAGAAACCTGAAGGACTGTAAATAATGGTGGTTTTTGTGGTGTGCCGTTGAGCCACATCACAGAAAGTTCCCTTTGTTGAATTTATTGGCATAGAGTTGTTTAAATATCCATAAAATCTTTATGCCGTTACTGCTGTCATCCTGTTACTGTTAATTTGTGTCTTCTCTTTTTTCTTGATCAGTCTAGAAGGAGTTTTATGCATTTTCTTGATCGTCTCAAAGCAGCAGCCCTGAGAGTTGTTGATTCCCTCCCTTACCCCCTGCTTTCCTGGGTTTCTGCCATTTGCCTTTAGTTCTGGTCTTTATTCTCACCTTCCTTCTGCTTGCTTTGGGCTTTGCTTGTTGTTCTAGTTTCTCGAGGTAGAAAGTGAGGTCACCGGTAGAGTTTTTCGGTTTCTAATGCAGGACCTTGGCGAGCTCTGGTGGCCTGGTGAGGAGGGAGCCGTGCTGTCACCCAAAGGTGATGCCCCTCTGGCAGTTCAGGTCTCCTCCTGTGTGACTTACAGCCTCTAAAAACCCACCGGAGCGGCCGCTGTGCGTGGGTCCTGACTCAACAGCAGCGAGCGTGTCGGCCCTTCCGTGTTCTTTCTTGGCCTGTAACCCCTGACTTCTTGTTGTGGTGTGCTGTCAGAACCCACTCATAGCTGACCCTTCAGTGAGTTTTCACAGGCGGTAAATCCTTTACTAGGAGATTGTCCATAATTCTCCCTTGAGCAGCTGGTGGATTCGAACCACATACCTTTGGGTTGGCAGCACAGCTCCTTACATCTTGGCTTTAACATGTTTTTGTCCAAATTTCATTTAGTTCAAAATGCATTCCATTTCCCTTTTGGATTTTTCTTTGACCCATGGCGTGGTTTGGTGGTTTTTTTTAAAGACATTTTCTTGTTTAGTTTTCGAATATTGGAGTTACATGTAGAGCTCTTTCTGCTCCCTAATTTCCTGTTTCCTTTCAGCATGGTCAGAGCCCGTCCTAGTCGTGGCTTGAATAACTTTATTGAGACTTGTTCTGTGGCCCAGAATCGGGTCTCCCTCCAAGCACCCATTCTGTCTGCTCTTGAAAAGAAGTGGGTCCTGCTGGTGTTGGGTGACATGTTCTAGAAATATTAGGTTCTCTTGATTGATAGTGTTCAAATTGTCTGTATCCTGATTGACTTTACGTCTACTTAGTCTAGAAAATTGGTGTTTAGAAATGGTCAAAGTGGGCGTCCGTGGGGGCTATTCTGAGAAAGGACACAGTTTGCCCAGGCAGACCCCAGTGGTGGAGCCTGGGCTGATGGCATCACTGGTGCCGTCAGGCCCTCTTGGGAGGACTCCTGGGGTGATGGTAGACCTGCCCCCGGCCCTGTCGAGAATCTGCCTCATTTTTTGTGTCTCAGGCGCTCCTTGGTCCTGTTTGTTGCTGGGGGGGCAGTTTATGAGCCCTTGGGGGCCTGAGGTGGCCTGTTACTTCTCCCTCACTTGTTACTGTTGGGTCGCATTGAGTGCGTTCCCTCTCATAGTGACCTCATGTGACACAGTGCCGCAGTCCCAGCAGATTTCCTAGGCGACCATTCATTCATTCATTCATTTTTAGTAAACGTTTACAGAGATTTTGAATTTCTATTCATTCATTGTTGCATTTTTCTCCCCCCCCCCCCCCCGCGCCCACAGTTCGCTCTTCTCTTTGAAAAGTAAGAGAAAAATTCCTTCATTGATATACAATCCCCCCCAAGTACACTCAACTATGTAACCTTCATTCTGGACTCTTGTCATAACCATAATACCATATCATATATCACTTTTAAACTGTTCTCTCCCTCATCTGTTTCAATGCAGTATACATAATTTATCCAGTTTTTCTCAGTCTCACCCCAACCCTGATGTACTGTTCAACAATAGTGGCCCTATGCAGTATTTGTCTTTTTGTGACTGAAATATTTCACTCAGCATAATGTCTTCCAGGGTCACCCATTTTGAATAATTTCACTGCAGTGTAGTATTCCATTGTATGAATATTCCATAGCTTCTTTACAAGAGCAGATGGCCAGGTCTTCTCTCCCGAGGAGTCGCTGGGTGGCTTTGAACCTCCCACCTTTGGGCTGACCTCCGAGTGCATAGCCGTTGCACCACCAGCCCGTCCTCCCCTCCGCAGGTGGAGAACTCCACGCTGAGCTCCCAGAGCGCCTCGCTCACAGCGCAGTACACGCTGCTGCAGAACCAGCACACGGCCAAGGAGACGGAGAACGAGAACCTGCAGAAGCAGCAGGAGCAGCTGGCCGGGGCCTACGAGGCGCTGCTGCAGGACCACGAGCGCCTGGGCACCCTGCACGAGCGCCAGTCCGGCGAGTTCGAGACCCTCATCCGCCAGCACAGCTGCCTCAAGACGCTGCACCGGAACCTGGAGCAGGAGCACAAGGAGCTGGGGGAGAGGTGCGGGGGAGAGGGGTGGGACTGGGGCTCTGGGGCCCAGGGCTGCCCATCAGCTTCCCCGGGGTGCTGGGAGCCATGGGGGCCGTTCATCACGCTCTCCTGGGAGGCTGGGGGGCCATCCTTTAACCCTCCCCTGGAAGATCTGGGGAACCCAGGGACTAGGTAGTCATCCTACAAGCTCCCCCAGAGAACTTGGGAGCCCAGGGCTGGTGAGGGTCTTCTCTCCGTCTCTCCCAGAGAACTCGGAGAGCCCTGGCTGGGCTGGGAGGGAGGTCATTCTATCAAGTACTTCAGAGTGGTTGGGAATCCAGGCTGATGGGGTCACTGTCACATCTTCCAGACTTGGTTCTGAACTTTCGGGGTTGTCCCTAAGATGCCCCTAGAACACTTGGATTTGGGCTGGTGGGACTTGTCCTATAGACTCTTCCAGAAGGAGTGGGGGCCCAGGCTGGTGGAGGTGAACTTAGTCCGCTGAGTGTCTTTCATCAGGCTTCCTCCTGCAAGGACTTGGGGGCCCAGATGGTGAGCGTCGTGCCATTGGGTCCCCTGAGACCTCAGGCTGAAGGGACACACATCTCCCCTCTGCCCCCTCCACTTCCTCTCCCCGCCCCCCACCCCCCTCAGTTCTCTGCTCCACACAGTCTGTGGCCTGAACAGTGTCGGGGAAGCGAATGAGATGTCCTTTCAGTGATGCCAGCACTGAAGAGTCAGCAGAAGGGGCCCCAGTGCCTGAGAGGGGTGCGGTCACCCACCCCAGCTCTGGGAGGGAGACCCCATATTGGTGCCTTTCCAGGACTAAGAAGACGCCCTAGCTGCCGTTCAGGAGTCTGGGCTTTCGCCTGCCTCCCACACGGCTCCTTTCATAACCCATCCTCCCTTCCCTCAGCTTCAATTCTGGAAACTCCTGAACATCTAGAAAGTAGACAGATGATAACACAGAAACCCCCGCGTACCCAGCCCCCGGCTTCCCAGGTGTCAGTACCCTGCTCTCTGGTTTCCCCTGTCCCCCATCCCCCCTCCTCACAGCTTAGTGTGAAGAGATTTAGTTAAATCTCCACAGACTAGAAGTACTGCTCATGCCTGAATGCCCTGGACAGGTATGTTCAAGGGAGGGCTGTGAGGGGGCTGTTGACCACCTCTGAAGGCAGAGTGAGTTGGTGGGGGCTTCCCTGCATTTCTGGCATGATCCACTGTACAGCAGGTGCACAGTCTTTCATGCTGGACGATGGGTGTGGGCCCTTTGGTCTGAGGCAGGACTTCAGGTCAGGAGTGTCAAGAACCTGTGGTTCATGGTGACAGGTTGCTGTTCAAGTCATTTGACATTTGTTGTTACGTGCCGTCGAGTCACTTGCAATTCATAGCGACCTTATGGACAGCAGCCCTAAACCCTGCTCTATCCTGTGCCAATCGCACTGTCTCTGACACACCCATCCTGATTACCCCAGTCACTGAATCAATCCACCTCATAGAGGGCCTTTGCCTCCTGCGCCATCCCTCCACCCTCCCAAGTATGATGTCCTTCTCCAAGGACTGGTCCCTCCTACAACATGTCCAAAGTATGTCAGATGAAGCCTCAGAATCCTTTGCCTCCAAGGAGCAGCCTGGTTTAATCCTTTCTAGGACGAATCTGTTTGTTTTCTTGGCAGTCCAGGGTACATTCAGTACTCTTCTCAAGCACCACAGCTCAAAGGCATCAATTCTTCTTCTATCCTCCTTGGTCATTGTCCAACTCTCTGATGCATAACAGGTGATATTTGACATTTACATCAGACAAATCCCATGTCCATTCCTGTATCCTGTGTCTGTTACTCACATGTGCAAGGGGCCCTGGTGAGCCCCTTGGCTACTAATTAAGGCTGATGGTTCGAACCCCCCACCTGTTTCTTGAAAGACAAAGTTGGTAGTATGTCCTCATAAAGGTGACGAATGGCGTGTCTGTGTGGGGTGTGTCATCTCTGTCCTGAATGTTTCCAGTGAACTGGAATCACCTTAATGGCACTGGACCTTGGTTTTGATTTTGGACTCTTGTACTGGGGACTCGGCGGTGACCTGCATCCCCACAACCTTAACGGTTTGGAGAGAGACTTTCCGCAGCATGGCACGGGGGCGTAGAAGTTGGGGGCCCTTCTGGTCAGCCTGTGACCTCATTTGTCAGGCCTGGGTTCTTTTTTCTGGAATCGTTAAGGCTGGATGAGGAGGGCCAAGGCTCTGAAATGAGGCAGAGCCGCCTCCTTCTGGGTGTCCGGTGCCCCTCGGGGGTTCCTCTAACTGCATCTTGCAGGAAGTGCTGTCTGAGTGTGGACAGGCTCCCTCCCCCGCATCAGACGGCACGAGTGCAGCTGGCCTGTAGCTGGTGGACCAGAGGCAGTGAGGGAGTAAAGGGTGCACAGGCAGGGTTGGCTTCTGACTCGGGCAGCCAGAGAACAGCTAGGAGGGCATTGCTGCTGACCCGTAGCGGCCATCAACCTCTGGTCATCTTGAAATTGGGTGGTGCTTGTTGATTTATGCCTTCAAGTCAAAACCGACTCATAGCTGACCCTTTCAGCCGGTTTTCACAGGCAGTAAATCACATGGGAGATGGCCCTTTCTTCCATGGAGCAGCTCGTGGATTTGAACCAAGGTCCTCTGGGGTTGGCAATGCAACCCTTGACCCCTAGGCCTCTAGAGCTTCCCTTGAAATTGAAAAGGAGCCTGTAAATTAGAAATTACCCCTAGGTCCTCAGATTGGGGGAACAATTTAGAGATTGCCCCTTGGGTGCTTTTTACCCTTTCTAAGCCTCTGGGTAGGGAGCCCTGGTGGCCTAGTGGCAAGAAGCTGAACTGTAATCCTGAAGGCACACAGTTTGAGGACACCAGCCGCTCTGCGGGAGAAGGATGGGCAATCTCCACCCATGCCATTGACTTCCTCTGAAAACCCACTGGAGGGTCAGCTGTGGGTCGGTCTGTCTTTAAGGTAAACAACAAACAACAACAAGCCTCTGGGTGGGACATTGAGGGCTTGGAGGTGTGGAAGGAGAACCCTCCAACACAGAGTGGACCAGGATGGGCAGTCTGAGCTTGCAAACTCGGGCAGGAAGCTAGTGGAGAATGGGACTCAGAAGAGTCAGGGAGGGTGGAAAGGCCCAGCCCCTGTCCCCTCCCATGTCTGATGTACCCTTGGACTTAGGGGGAGGGTCCCGAACCTTCAAGGGTTCAGGGTGTTCCGCCTACAAGGCTGTAGGAACAGCCCTGGCTTGTCCACACCCTCCCTTGGCTCTGCTGCTCCCCAGAGACGGACTGTGACCCAGCCAGACAGCCATTGCCATCGAGTTGATTCCAACTCAGGGTGACCCATGAGTGCAGAATAGAACTGTTACATCAGAGTCTCAGGCTGTGGCTTTACAAAGCGGGTAGCCAGGCCTTTCTTCCAAGGCACCTCAGACTCTGTTTGAACTGCCATCTTTAGATTAAGCGCCGCTTAGGTAACTGGTACTAGAGGTCACTGTGAGTCCACCCAGGGACTTTACAGACTGAGGTGGGCAAAGGTGAGGTCCTGTAGGGCAAGGGCTGCATGTGGGGGCCTGGGGCTGGGGCTGGGCTTTTGGACAGCGAGGCCTTGGGGAGAAATATTAGTGTGTCTCTGTGTGTGTGACAGCTGGTCTCTAGCAGCAGCTTGGGCCAGCTGGACAGGCCACTGTCTCCTGGGCGGCCAGATGAGGGACGAGCAGAGTGAGCTTCCCAGGCGGGGCGGCTCGATGAGGAAGGATTAGCTGTTCTGTGCCGTGGAATTCAGCTGTGTATTTTGTGACTTCTTTGCTCTGTTTGAGTGCAGTGATCCGGCTAGAACCTTACCCACAGCTCTCTAGAGAGGATATGGCCTGAGGAGTGTGGGTGATGTGCCTTCGGGGGCTAGAGGAGAAGGGCTGCTTTGATGGGGGCTTTATGGAGCCACAGAGAAATCTGGGGAAGGAGGAAGGTTCTGGGCTCTGGGACTGAGCAGACCAGGAGAACTGGCCTGGCCTGGATGCCACTGCACAGTGCCCCCAGAGGCAGTCCTGTGTCCCCACTGCCTGCCTGTGAACAGTCAGGTCCAGGGAGACCCAGCTGCATGACTCCCTGACAGGCAGTCCTGGTCCCCACTGCACAGCCTGTCTCCTGGCGGGACTGTGGACCCCAAGATGCTTTAGGAGGGAGTCACTGGAGGGAGCCATCAGTGATCATGAGGGGGTGACCTGCCTGTGAACAGTCAGGCTCAGGGAGACCCGGCCGTGTACCCCCCAGGCAGGCAGTCCTGTGTCCCCACTGCCCAGCGTGTCTCCTGTGGGATCCCAGATCCTGAAGTGCATCAGGAGGAAGTCACTGGAGGGACCCCTCAGTGTCCATGCCCAGGGTGACCCGGCCATGTTCCCCCCAGGCAGGCAGTCCTGTGTCCCCACTGCCCACCCTGTCTCCTGGCAGGACCTCAGACCTCGAAGTCCTTCAGGAGGAGGTCACTGGAGGGACCCCTCAGTGTCCATGCCCAGGGGCACCTGGCCGCATGCCTCCCTGTCAGGCAATCCTGTGTCCCCACTGCCCAGCCTGTCTCCTATGGGATCCCAGACCCTGAAGTGCATCAGGAGGAAGTCACTGGAGGGACCCCTCAGTGTCCATGCCCAGGGGCACCTGGCCGCATGCCTCCCTGTCAGGCAGTCCTGTGTCCCCACTGTGCAGCCTTTCTCCTGGTGGGACCCCTCAGTGGTCATGAGGGGGTGAGCTGCCTGTGAACCACCAGGTCCAGGGTGACCCTGCCTCTTGCCTCCCTGGCAGGCACAGCGAGATGCTGGCACACAAGGCGGAGTTGGACGAGCTGGAGAAGGTGCTGCAGACAGAGCGGGTCGCCCTGCAGCAGGAGCAGAGGGTCAGCGCGGCGGCCGCCGGCGAGAACCACAGGCTGCAGGGCGAGCTGGACAGGTGAGGCCAGCCTGGGGCCCGTGGGCGGCGGCCAGCATACGGTCACACCACCCACTCTCTGACCAACCACCAGCAGAGGGAAAGGCACCCTGATTGCACAGAGGCTAAGCACAGCCGGTGCTAACCGGACAGTCAGAAAAGACCCAGCAAGCTGCCCTATAAAGATGAAACCAAACCCCATACCCACCGCTCTATAGTCCGGTCTCACAGTGACGCTCCGTTGGGTTTCAAGATTGACCATCGTTAAGGGAGGAACCGGTCCAGCTTTCTCCTTCAGAACAGCTGGTGGGCTTGGACTCCTAATCTTTTGCCAATTAGCAGTTGATGTGTTGTGCACCAGACCTCCTTACAGCCCAGGAAACCCCGTGGGTCTCTTCTGTCCTTTTACACGGGGCCACTGTGAATTGAAATTGACTCAGGGGCACCTGACAACAGGATCTTGGGTGATCCCTGGCAGTCCTTGTTTTTAAGAACTCTGCCATGTTAGTCTCATGGGTGACAGGGTGACAGGTAACTCTAGCTGGCAGCTGGGATGTAAAAGCTCAGTTGACACTCGGGAGACACACATCATCCAAGTATGATGGTTCTTCCATCAGCACCAGGGATGGGGGTCAGCAGGGAGCCAGCCAGACTCTAGTTCTCATTATTTTCAAATCCAGCCAGACATCATGGTGTTGATAGGAAAGGTCCAGCTTTTTAAATGTTGGCAGTGGATCTATTTTTATGAAATGCTACCATGTAGGCCAACTCACATGGCTGTGCCCAGCTTCCACTAAGTCCCTGGTCATTTCAGCTTTCTACTCTGCCTTGTTGCCACCAGTGCCAATTATGACCATTTTAGTGGACTCACAGAATACTCTGGCATCTCATGCTTTATTTCTCTGAGTTGAAATCAAGCGGGCACTTGGAATAAGAAAAAGAGCTGAGCATTGATGTTGTTGTTACGTTGTTATGTGCCGTCGAGTCACTTGTGACTCATAGTGACCCTAGGTACAACAGTCCTAAACTCTGCTTTGTCATGTGCCAATTGCACTGTCTCTGACATTCCAATCCTGATTACCCCAGTCACTGAATCAATATCCACCTCATTGAGGACCTTCCCCTCCTGTGCTGTCCCTCCACCCTCCCAAGCACGATGTCCCTCTCCAAGGACCGGTTTCTCCTTACAGCATGTCCAAAGTATGTTAGATGGAGCCTCAGAATCCTTGCCTCCAAGGAGCAGCCCGCTTTAACCCTTTCAGGATGAATCTGTTTGTTTTCCTAGCAGTCCATGGTACTGTCAGTACTCTTCTCCAGCACCACAGCTCAAAGGCATCAATTCTTAGTCTATTCTCCTTAGTCATTGTCCAACTCTCTGCATACCAAGTGATAGCAAAGACCATGGCCTGTATCAGATGCACCTTAGTCTCCAGGGAGACACCATTGCTCTTCAGTACTTTGGAGAGGTCCCTAATAGCAGACTTGCAGTTCAGCTACCTGCCTAGAAGCCACCAGAGCTTCCGAGCATTGATAGAATTTATAATAAAGACGTAATAGAGCCTGCCTGTTCTGTTTCCCCTGGCCCAATTTGGGGGCTTCATGGAATTCCAAAGAACACAGTTTGGAAACTGCCAGTTTAGTCCAGGCACCCATTTTATGGATAGAAACAAGTGAGGCCCAGAGAGGTTAAGGTTGTGCCTCAGGTTGCACAGCCTCCCTCAGGCAGATGGGACGTGCAGCCTTGCTCAGCCCTCCTCCCCACGGCTCCCCTGCAGGGTCAGCTTCCTGCACCACCAGCTGAAGGCGGAATACGAGGAGCTGCATGCCCACACCAAGGAGCTCAAAACCTCACTCAACAACTCGCAGCTGGAGCTGAACCGCTGGCAGGCCCGCTTCGACGAGCTCAAGGAGCAGCACCAGGCCATGGACATCTCACTGACCAAACTGGACAACCACTGTGAGGTGAGGGCAGGCGGGGGGCCAGAGGGGCTTCCAGGGAGACACCGCCACCCCAGGGCTGGGAATGTGGGCCTTTGCAGGGTTGGGGAGGACGCCTGGGGGATGCTGTGTGCTGTGTTAGTTCAGCCCTGTGGGGCGTGTCCACACTGTCCACAGCTGTGCTGACCTAGAGACGTGGCGTGGCTTTGCCCACTCTTGAGTGTGGCCAGCGTCGGCTCAGGATCCTGGGGTGGGACGGGGTTGTCTAGAAATGATCCCAGCATTCTCCTCACCCTCTCCTACTCCCCACTTCTAGAGGGACAGTGCTGAACTTTTGTTTTCTAGTAGCAGTAGGTTTGACGTGACTTTTTTAGCTGGAACCTGTTTCTGCAGAGAAAATTTTAAGCAGAAGCCCAAGCATTTAAGACCCACAGATGTGGTTCTGGCAGGAAGACGGCTCCCACCTCCAGGACAGCCCTTAAGACACACCACATGCCTCAGGACACCCTTAGTTTGCTCATTTTTAACTTTTTATTATGATTTGTGTGAAAGTTTACAAAGCAAATTGATTTTCTCTTCAACAATGCATACACACCTTTTGTTTTGTGACATTGGTTCCAGGTCCCCATATTATACCCACTCCTCCGACTCCCTCCCTGTGTTTCTCTTGTCCACTTTTCCCCCTTTTCTAGCCCTCTCTGCCCTCTTGAGTTTCATCCCTGGGCAGGTTCTGCCTTTGAGCTCTGTGGTTGATTGTTCTAGGGTTGAGCTTCCTTCTAATTCTTGAAAGACCGTCTTGGGCACTGTTCTCCTGGGCCCACCAGGAGGTAAGGGCATCGCAGTCCACAGGCTGCCTCTCTCCAGCTGCTGTGTGGGAGAAAGCTGGACGGTCTCCTTCCATGTGCTCTGCAGCCTCAGGACACCCAGGGGGTCAGCTATGGGTCAGCTCCAGTGCACCAGCAGGGAGTTGAGAGGGAGTGGCCGTACTGAAGATGTAGAAAGTAAAGGGAAATGTAATTTTTACCATTTTGTTTAAACATTACATCTAAATCATCATTTGCAAGCAAAAAACTCGTCGACAACATATTTGCATATATATATATATGCAGGAGTGGCATCCACTTCCTAAACAACTTGCCTCCAGAAACTCTATGAAGTTTGATAAATATCAAGAGCTGTAGAGGGGCTTCAGGCCTTTTGTTGATAGGATCGCTGTGAGTCATGCTCGACTCGAAGGCAGTAAACAGCAACATATATATTATTGAATGCCATCAACACAGAACCAACCCATACCTGACCCTCCAGTGGGTTTTCAAAGGCTTTTAATCACATGGGAGGGGATTGCCCATTTTTCTCCCATGGAGCAGCTGGTAGATTCGAACCGCGTGTTTTTGGGAAGGCAGCACAGCTCCTTACCACTCAGCCACCAGAGCTCCTGTGTGCATGTATGTTGTTGTTGTTATGTGCCCTCGAGTCACTCACAACTCATAGCGACCTTGTGTACAATAGCCCTGACCCCTGCTCTATCCTATGCCAACTTTTTGTCTCTAATACACCTACCACCATTAGCCCTGCGACTGAATCAATCCATCTCATCAAGGGTCTTTCTCTCCTGCGCTGTCCCTCCACCCTCCCAACCATGATGTTCCTCTCCAAGGACTGGTCCCCTCCTTGCAACAAGTTCAGAGTATGTCAGAGGAAGCCCCAGAATCCTTGACTCCAAGGAGCAGCCTGATTTCACTCTCTCATGGATAGACCTGTTTGTTTTCCTATCAGTCTATGATATAGTCAGTACTCTTCTCTAGCACCACAGCTCAAAGACATCAATTCTTCTTCTGTCATCTCTAGTCATTGTTCAGCTCTCTAATACATAGCAAGTAATTACAAAAACTATGGCCTAGATCAGGCGCACCTTAGTCAGATTGACATCATTGCTGTTCAGTACTGTGGAGAGGTCCCTGACAGCTGACTTTCCCAATGCAATTAATTTTTAATTTCCTGGCTGCTAGTACCAAGAGTGTTGATTGTGGAGCCAGGCAAACTAAAGGTGTTAACAATCTCAATCTCTTCACTGTCTGTCATGTGAGTTGGCCCAGTGGAGAGAATCTTTGTCTTCTTGATGTTGAGCTTCAATCCATATTGAAGGCTGCAGTCCTTGACCTTCTGTAGCAAGCGCTTCAGGTCCTCCTCAGTTTCAGCAGGCAGGGTTGTGTCATCCGCATAACACATGTTGATGAGTCTTCCTCCAATCCTAATGCCACATTCCTCTTCATAGAGCCCAGCCTCCTGGATGATCTGTTCTGCATGTAGATTGAAATATTTTTTAAAAACTCAAGCACATTGCCATGCAGTCAGAACAGACTCATCGCTCACTTGCCAGTGGATTTTCTAAGGCTGTAAATCGCGTGGGAGGAAGTTGCGTGTCTTTCTCCCATGGAGCAGCTGGTGGGTTCAGGTGGCAGAGTCACACTGCCTTTGGGTCAGCAGTGCAGCGCCCTGAGGACCTCATCACCGTGGAGTCGGAGGTGTATCTGTCATCTGTCCTGGAAGAGGTGTAACCATGGTGCTCTTTAGAAGCAGAGATTGTAAGACTTGGTCTCATGGACTTTGGGCGTGTTGGGAGGAGAGGCCAGACTTTGGAAACGGACATCATGCTGCGGGAGGTGGAGGGTCTGGGAAGCAGGACGATCAACGGGATGGGTGGGCACCGTGGCTGCAGCGGTGGGCGCTGGCACAGGGGAGATTGTTTTTTTTTTTTTTAATTTTTTTTAACTTTATTATTTTTATTGTGTGTGTACCATCAAATCGGATCTGACTGGTACAGGAGGAGATTGCCCCTCCTTCTCTAGCAAAGCATCAGGTGGATTCAAACAGAGCACCTCTGGGGTTGCAGTGCAGCTTCTTGCCACTAGGCCACCAGAGCTCCCCTACAGTGGAGATTCTGAGCATGGGGCAGGATCAGAGAGGCTTGGTCTCACAGAGCACCCTGTGTACTCTGATGGCAAACTAGGTTACATATTTCTGCTAACCAAAGGTTAGCGGTTCAAATCCACCAAGGGCTCTGTGGGCAGAAAATGAAGCTGTCTAGTCCTACTAAGATTTTTAACCTAGGAAACCCAGTGGATTTGCAAGGGTTTTGTCTGAGTAGAAATCAGTTCCACAGCAGTGGAGAGATAGAGAGTGTTAGTTGTGTACCTTGCACTTAGTTATTGTCATTAGATTCCAGTGAGACAACTGTGACCGATAGTGACCCTGTGAACGATAGATTTGAAATGGCCCCGTCTGCGTCCTCTTCACTCTCCGACACGCTTTATAGTCTGTCTCGTTGAGGGTCTTCCTCTCTTTCTCTGACCTTCCACCTTTCCCAGCATGCTAACATTTTCCAAGGACTGGCCCCTCCTGACAGCAAGTCCCAAACATGTGACATGGGTTCCACCATCATGGCCTCTAAGAAGCATCCTGGTTACATTTCCTCCAAGAAAGATAATAGTCCATGATCTATTCGTTACTCTTTGCTAACACAACTCAAAGGCAACGAGTCTCCTTCCGACCTACTTATTCATTGTTTAACTTTCAGATGCACTGCAAACAGTTGACAACACTATGGCTTGGGTCAGGCCCGCCTCAGTCTTTACACTGACATCCTTGCTCTGTAACACCTTGGAGAGGTCCCTGACAGCAGACTCTCCCAGTGTGTAACACATCTTTGGATTTCTTCACTGTTGCTGCTGTGGGTGTTGTTTGTGGATCCAAGTAAAATGAAATCCTTCACAACTTCAGCCTTTTCTCTGACTGTCATGATGTTTCCTCTTGGTCAGGTGGTGAGAAATTTTGTTTTCTTGATGTAGAGGTGGTTGTTGTTGTTAGGTGCGTTTGAGTCGTAGACAACTATAGCAACCCTGTGAACAAAAGACCTGAGCAATGTTTATAGAGTTTCCAGAGGCAAGCCATTTCGGAAGCGGATGCTGTTCCTGCTTCCAAGCTTGTTTTAAATTGGGAAGCTCCACCAAACACTGTCCACCATGGGTAACCATTACCACATTTGACACATCAGTGTCACAGTGTTTAGCATCACAGCAACCACAGGTTGTAGAGGTATAATCCATATACAGGCTGTAGTCATTGATTTTCTTCAGTAAGTGCTTCGAGTCGTCTTAACTTCACCTTCCAGTCCATCTCACTACAAACCAGCTGTATTCTAAGTGCCTGTGAAGTAGCCGAAGGTTGTAGCGGCCGCCGTATTGGGTACAGGGAACTCGCCGTTCCCTTGTAACTCCCAGTGTGTGTCCTTTCCAAGTCCTCACTGGCCTCCGTGAGGCTGAGACGGACCTCTCTGTAGATCCGTCCCCAGCAGCGACTCCTGGGGTCTGAGGGTCCATGGGTCTGTTGCAGCTGCTGTCGCGTCTCAAGGGGAACCTGGAGGAAGAGAACCACCACCTCCTGAGCCAGATTCAGCTGCTGACCCAGCAGAACCAGATCCTTCTGGAGCAGAACATGGAGAACAAGGAGCAGTACCACGAAGAACAGAAGCAGTACATGTGAGAAAGGGGCTGCTCCCAGAGTGGTGGGCGACTCTAGTCAGCAGAGGGTCCCTGAGTCTCCCTCCCCGGCTTGTCACAGTCACGGGACCCCTGGAGAGGCCAGCTTCTCCTGCCCCACACTACGTGAGCCCCGAGTTCAAGGAGCCCTAGCTTTGCACAAGACAGCCGCATTGTGGTGAGGTGCAGGGGCAGGATACCCCAGGAGCGTCCTGATACAGGGTCCCAGTTGCCAGGGCCCCAGAGGTGGTAAGAGGCCAGCTAGGCCAGGAGTGTGGGCCTCCCTACTGTGGGCAGCATTTTCTAACATGTGTCCACATGCCTAGCCCTAAGATGAAACTTAGGAAAGACGTCCTCTTTTTGATGAGAAAGGCTAGAATCTCCCCTGTAAAGTCTGGGGTGCCCTGTGGGACTCCAGATCTTTTGTGGACTTGAGCTCTGTTTGTAAAAATTTGAACTGGTTTCCTGCATTTAGAAATCAGGACCTCTGATGCCATAACCTTGTCTCTATCTTCTCTGTGGACGTGGGCCCCCTTGGGCGATTCCCACAGGGCAGAGGTGTGCTGGGACCCCCTGTACACACGCTCAGCTCGCCACAGTCCCTGCCACTCGCTCTCGCCTCTCCCCAGCCACTCTGCTCACTGTCTGCCCTTGGACGCCTGGACACTGTGTTCTCTCGGAAATGTTAGCAGAAAAACAGAAACCAGTGTTGGTGGGATCGAAGCCAGAGGCTTGACTTGGCCTAGCTGACTTTTTTTTTTTTTAAAGTAGGCTTGGTATTTATTTTGAATGTTTTATTTAATTTCCTATAATTCTGAACAAGAAAATCTTCTTTTTTTACTTTTTTTTTCCTTCTTCATTATTTTACTATGTTATTGGTGAAAATTTAGATGACAATAAGACTGCCTTCAGCCGTTCATACACAGCTTGTTTCATGACATTGGTTACAACCCCCAAACATGTCAGCAAGTCCATTCCCACTAAACTGACCTAAAGGGGCCTTGGTGGCTCAGTGTGTAAGGTATCATCTGCTAACCAAAAGGTTGGCAGTTCAAATCTACCAGCCGCTGTGCAAGGGAAAGATGTATGATCTTTCTGTAATGATTCATTTCCTCTGCAACCCCGTGGGGTCACCATGAGCTGCAGTGTTTGCATGGTGGGAACTGACCATCAGCCTCATTGTCCATCCAGCTCCCCAGAAACTGCCCCCTTCAGGGTGTTGTTCGTACGTGGCCCCCATGAGCCAGCCTGGGTCAGACACGGAGTGCCTGGCACCGGGAATCAGTGACCTGGCTGCGTAGTTCCTGGTTCTTGAGTTTTCAGGTTGCTCAAGGGTTGACCCCACGGGTACGCTTAGAGCTGACCTCAGTGACTTCAGTAAATGTGTCCCTACAAGGGGTTTCTGGGCCCTTCCTGGGTTGCATTGAAAGCCATGTGGAGGTTTGCCTTTTCATTTCTCCTCTCTCCTCTGCTCCCAGAGACAAATTAAATGCCTTACGGAGACACAAGGAGAAGCTGGAGGAGAAAATCATGGATCAGTACAAGTTCTACGATCCTGCTCCGAAGAAGTGAGTTGCACTCTGTTTTGATGATTGAACCGCTTGACTGGAAAGAACTCCCTCTTACAGGAGGGGGACTGGAGCCACTTAAAGCAATGCCCCGATGCCCCTGATGCCACCCCTGGCTCCTGTGCTCCCTTCAGAGCCCCCACACAGGGGAGGAAGTGATGGTGCTCAATGCCATCATATCTGAACTCTGTCCACATAGCCAGACAGCCCATGCTGGTGGCTGGAACCCTGGCCCACACCAGGGGTTCGGTGACCTGCCTGGGCCGAGGGGAGAAGGAGCATCCTTCTAACACTCTCCTCCCATCTAGGAAAAACCACTGGATTGGAGCCAAAGCCTTAGTCAAACTCATCAAACCAAAGAAAGAAAATTCTAGGGAGCGGTTAAAATCTACTACAGACAGCCCGTCCTGGCAGCTGGATCCCCCCGAGCCGGCCTCGCCGCCCCCCACTCAGCCTCTCCGTTCGCAGCCCGAGACCCCGGAGACCCTCCCACTGGTGACCAGCGGTGTGGACGAGCGTGAGGTCAATGGAACTGTGGGGAAAGGTAGGAGTGGACGGGTGGCCTGAGGGCAGTGGGGGGCCGGGGAGGGTGTGCTGAGTGATTCGTCCATTGAGGAGAGCTGAGTGAAGTGTGTATACCTGGAGGGGTTTATGTGCTTGTATGCATGTTTGTACAGGGGTGTATATGAGAACAGGGTGAGTACAGGATATGGGACATCGTGTGCATGCTTGTGTGGGAGTGTGGAGGGAGTTGTGTATCTGCAAGAGTGTGAAGAGGGGGGTGTGCACGTATGTGGGGCCATCAAGGGTGTGCGTGTGTGTGTGTGGTATGAGGAGAGGGAGTGCCTTTGTAAGCCACCTTGAGCAGTGTGTTGTTCCTACTTAACGTATGTTTGTTATTAATCAAGCGAAAAGCAGAAATCCCTGTCAGTGTTATGATGATTTGGTCCTATCACCTTGACGATTTTCAGCTGGAAGCATCCCTTTATCATGTAGACTGGCAGGTGCTTACTGTCCAGAGCTGATGCTACCACGCCCCCCTGGAGACCAGCTAGACACTGCACAGTCTCCAAGCTCCTGTCTTTGTCACACATGGCCTGTGAGCGTGACCCTGGGAGCGTCTAATGCCACTGTGTCCGCACGAGAGCTTGGACCCCACGTGCCTCGGCCGTCTCTTCACTTGGGCCCCTTGTGCCTCGACCATCTCTGAGATCTCGGGCCCCGTGTGCCTTGGTCATATCTTTTCACTTGGGCTTTCTCCTCTTCCGGCTGCTCGCCTGGTGTCCCAGCAGCCCCAGGAGTTCACCTGTCACTTAGGGAGCTCATGTGGGCTTTGCCGGAGCCTCTCAAAGAACAGCATGGTCTACCATCGTGCCGTGTTTCATCAAACCTTCGAGGCTGTCACTTTACAAGAGGCACAGTTATTTTATACCCCGCTGGGGGTGCCAGCTGTGACATGAAGAGGAGGTGACACTTCCTCACGGAGCATTTTATTATTCTCTCCTTGGAGGAGCTTTTCTAAAAGCCTAAACGAGACGCATTTTTGTGCAAATTCCTGAGGGAAGTAAGAGCAGAGTGGACTGGTACTTTGTCTGAGGGCCACCTGGCCAGTGGTGGCAATAAGATACTGTTAACTCAAGACACAGCCTAAACTCTTGGAGACAATACAGGGTAGCAAAAAAGGGCATGAATTAAACGTAGCACTTACCCTAAACAGTCTCAATTGCAGATTTACTTTTTTTTTTTTGGTACAAAGATAATTTATTAAATGGCATTTTAAGCAATTTTCTAACATTGAGTGACAGGATACATTTTAATTTTTTTTTTTCCACATCGAAGCTATTATGATTTGCACTCAGAATGCCAAAGCTGTTGAACTCACCAATTCCCCCCCCCCCCCAATTCAAAGCACACGGGGGAAAGAAAAAAGTACAATTTGATTAATTCTATAAAAAGTAACTCGGAGACCAAAGATCCAGCAAAGACCACGCTCCTCTCTTCATAAATAAGCCAGTAATCTTGCCCTTTCTACAAAGTGCACATATCTTGGTATCACTTCTGTTCTTTAAATTGCAGTTTCCAAAGAGAAGCAAACCTCTCGTATGACCTGGTAGGTTCACTTTTGAAGACAAGCGTGTCTTGTCTTTTCTTTTGCTTCGTAGTGAAAGGTATTTTTTTTCCTTTTTTTTAACACAATTGAAGGTTTGTAGCCACCCTGCATTGGCCGCGTCTCTGGACGTCCTTTCCCCAGCAGGATGCTCTCGGTTTGTGTCCTGCTGTCACATCCTGGTAATTCTCGCGGCATTCCGGACATTTTTCATAGTGCTGATTGACACTTAACTAGAATACCGTCTGGTGTCAGCGTCTTGACGCACCAGGAAACCAAAGCATTTGTGCACTTTACTGACTGCAGCGTCTAGAACAAGGCTTTGAATCCCTCCCAGCCCGACCTGCATCACTGATGAGTTCCTCTTGCCAGGTTTGCCTTGTGAATAGTTGTGCGTTTTGTGAAGAGAAGACCACTGGGACCCTCTGCAGAGCAGTGTTGTACCTGAGACCCCCTGTGCACTGTCCAGTCCCCGGGTCAGTGCCAGGCCAGCCTCTGAGTGTGCTGTGATGAGTGTTTTGGGGGCGACAACCACCACTATGGTCCTTATTGTGTCACTTTCAAAGACAGAAGAGACACGTGAACACACTCGTCTCGCTTCGAGTTCGCTCTCCCCTTCCTGACAAGAGGCTGAGGGCAGGCCAGGCTGCTGCACAGGTTCAAGGCAGGAGAGCGTCCCATCTGTTCTGTTGCCCCAGGTGGCTTATTTTATTTTTTGTGATGTCATCTCAACTTCCTTTATTCTTTAGATGTTGATTTGAAAAACTTGGTCATCAAGTCGATTCCTGGACTCGTAACGACCCTATAGGACAGGACAGAGTCGAGCTACACCATCCGGTCTCTAAAACTAGATGCCCTCAGGAAGCCGCCTGACACATCTCTCTCCTGCAGAGCAGCTGGTGGGATCTGCCCACGAGCCTTTTAGTTAACAGAGAAGCCCTAGCACACCTTGTTGAAAGAGGAGACGGCGTGACTGCTCCACACAGCGAACTTCTCCATGAGCGAGCTGGTCAGCCGTGGGAGTTAGTTACCAGCAGCAAGTGCATCAGGCCCTCACTGGGCGACTCTTCACTGTTGTGTATCTCGTGTAGCCCCTATGTTCCTAGAAGCAGGTGTGGTCATTCGGCCCTTTCCTTTCATAGGGCTGAGTAAGAAGCTCGCTACAAGGTAAAATTTGACTATAGAGGAAGAGGTAGACATGGGATCCAAACCTGGCGCTCTTAACCTGCAGAAGACACCCCCCAAATGCCAAAGATCCCAGGCCGCTCAAGACGCAATCCTTGATCAGGCATCAGGCATGCCAGCACTAAAGACAGCAGCTTCCTGGATTCTGGAAAGGGGCCTCATGGCACAATGATTAAGTATTTGGCTGTGAATCAAAAGGTCAGCAGTTCAGATCCACCCAGTAGCTCCTAAGATGGATGGCCTGCATTCTGCCCCCACTAAGAGCTGTGTTAGGTGCCATTGAGTCAACTCCAACACAGCCGTCCTGCGGACGGCAGATTCGAACCCTGTGCCATCCCGCACTGGCCCCACGATGCTCAAGCCCGTTGCCACAGTCTGTGTCAATCCGTCTCTTTGAGGGCGACTTTCACTTTCACTGACCCTCCAACTTTCCAGCATGGTGGCTTTTCTCAGGGACTGGCCCCTCCTGACACCCAAAGGATGTGAGATGAAGCGTCGCCATCCTTGTCTCTAAGAATGCCATTTTTAAAATTTTTATTTTTTTGTTTAAATTTTGAAGCTGTTGTACCAAGTCAGAGGCTAATTTGGAACAAAGGTTTTATGACCCTGATTGTAATTCCTCTGGGACAGACTTGTTTGTTCTTTTTGCAGTCTATGGGTATAAGATACTCTTCGCCAATGCTATAAGTCAAAGTACAGCCTAGGATTTCCTGGGGGCAATTCTGTTTTGCTCCAAAGGGTCGACTGAAGACGGAATTGGAACAACATTCAATATTAACGTTATGTGATGTGAACCTTAGCCACCAGGTGGCGCTGTGGGATATAAAGAGCAAATGCTGGTGTATTTAATCCCCAAAGTCAGAAATTGGTTTACGTTCTCACACATAATAAGGCATGTTCAGGAACTTCGATAATTTGCTTTGATAAAACAGTTATTTAAGGGACAAGAAGCATGGGATTTTCACAGAAGACATGCAGAAGTTTTAAAAGCAAATTGAATTTCTTCTTGGGGTTGAGCTTTTTAGTTTGAAAAGCTGTGTTTTGATCCTTTCTTTAAAAAAGCATTTTGCCGAAAGAGGTTACTCTAGGAGAAAGAGTAATTAGTGACTACCTGAGGTAAGGTATTTCATTATAGGGAGCCCAGCGTTTATGAAGTTCTTCTGAGGTCTTTGGACAGGAATAGACATTGTATAGTGATGAATCGTCAGTCCCCTGTCATTAAAATAAATGAGTAAGAGAAGCGGTCTTAAATTAATAAGCATGCTTATTTAATAATTGAGCACATTGAAATTGACAAACAGCCCACGCCATGGGCTCCTCGTTCTTCATTCTGTCATTCTCCTCCCGTGCTGAGTAAGTAAACCATTTGGCTTTAAGATGCCACCAAATTAATTAAATGGAGCCGGATCATAAATGATTCACCGAGCCCGGATTCGGGTCCGAGTATCAGGTTTTAGATCCATCCTTTTTCGGTTGGACAGGATTCCAACTTCCTGAATACATTTAGCTCACATAACTTGATTTGTTACTGTATATTTTATTTATGTGGGTTTTTTTTCTCTTTTTTTCCCCTCCCCTTTCCTCCTTCGGGTCATCCTGGCGATAACACTCTAGCCACGCATCGCAAAAAGACTCCCTTTTTGAGAAGCAAAAGCAAGGACAAAGAGAAGTCTCCCACGGCACCCCCCGCTCTCTCTAAACGCCTGCGGTTCTGGTCTTCTCCCGAGAGCCCAGCCTCCCCTAACGAGACTTTCTCTTTCTCACCCATTGGAGATTTCTAACCCTTTCCTTTAGCGTGTCTCCATCATGCATCCTCCTTCATGTCTGAAATTCAAGAAACAAAACAAAACAAAAAAATAAAATAATTAAAAAAAAATCCAGCAGTACCTAAAGGCCGCGTGACCTAGAGTGGACCCCTCTCCTGTCCTCAACCCCAAGCCGAACCCAGAGTAGCCAGCATGGATCCCAAGTTCAGAATGGAAGATGAGAGGTCGCTCTCGCTGGACCATTCCTCAGCACGGTGCAGTTTTAGGGAGCCTCGGGACGCACATGCCCACACGTATGTCCACCCCGGGCTGGGATGTCCCTGCTCAGTAAGTCCATGGCCATGTGTTCTTATGCACGCTTGGCCCACGGGTTTCTGTCGTCGCCGCGTGCAAAGCAAGGCCACTTGTTGCTTCTGCTCCTTCCTCCCTTGTGCAGACGCAGCCCAGGGAGGGTTATTAAGCAGCAAAAGTTCAAGCCTCTGTCTGCCCCCTTGTCTTTGTCATAGCCCCCGCACCCGCGAATTGCTGCCTTTTACTAATAAGCCCCCCCTTTTAGAAGCGGCTGTGTTTTGGAGGATTTAGGGCTCCTTCCACACCTTTGGAAGAATTGGAGCTATTGAGCTGAGCCAGAGGCCAGCCCCGAGCAAAATATCCTGGCCATGCTGTCACTGTCTTGACACCTGGATACAGTAGGGGACCTCAGCACACACCTCACTGGTCAGCAGAGGCCTTTAGTTACTGCAGTCTTTCCAGCCTTCAGCCTCTGTTACCATCTGCATGGTTCTTGTCACATCCTTGGGCCACCTGGCTGCCAGCACCCTCATCTCCCTTTGCCTGCCTCATCATTTCCTCATAAGCTCCCAGGACCAGTACTGTAAGTGGGACCAAGGCCCTGGGTGATGGGATTGGTTCATACGCTTACTTGGCCACTGACTGCAAGGTTGGAGGTTTGGGTCCACCCAGGGGTGCCTCAGAAGAAATGTCTGGTGGTCTAGTTCAGAAAGCCATTCACTGAAAACCCCACGGAGCACAGTTGTGCTCTGACACGCAAGGGTGAAGGGGTGTCTTCGCGAGTCAGAATCAACTCGAAGGCCACTAGTAACCTCCCCAGAAAAGCCAGGTAACCATACAAAGAGATACATGTCTGATTTCTGAAATACCAGCCACTTAATAATGCCGCTGGCTATCCTGGGAGCCACCCTGGGCACCTGAGGCTGCCTCTGTTCCTGAGCCTGCTGTGTCACCACCTGCTGTGTCTCCACCTGCCGCTTGCCTGCAGCTCATACGTGCTAACTGTCCGCGCATCCCGCCTCCCCTCCACTGGGTCATGCTCTAACTCCTGTCTGTCCAGTGATCTGTCCCCCCTCATTCCACCAGACTTGAGTCTTGCTTCTCATCAAGGTGATCTTTTAAAGTCCTGATCGCCCCTGGGTTTCCAGTTGCAAGGTCTGGGTACTTAACATGTTGCCACACACTTTTAAATCGGCGACGTGTTAAAAGTGCCCTGTGAGCCCAGACCATAGGCTGCCGGCAGAGGTGACTGCCGGTAAGTCTACTGAAGATGTGACCAGTCGTTTACAGACACGCGCACCCCAGCCCTGGGGCTCTGAGTAGATCAGTCCGTGGCCTTCAGGTTGCCAGGGCTGGGCTGTTTTGCCAAACAAAGGCTTGGTCCGCCATTGGTCACCTCTAGCGTGTGTCTGAAGGCCCTACCATCCCCTTTCCTCCTGAGTAGTTGGAGGTTATTGGGGTGGTTTGATTTTCCAACTCTGTTTTAATTACTTCTGATGTGAGTCCAAGTTCATGGTAGAAAATCAAGCTGAGAAGAAGCAATGGGCGCACGTGCAAAGTGGCCCTGCAGTCAGCTTACTGTGCCAGGATTTGGCTTATTTATTTCTTTCCCCCAAGAAAGAGTTGTTGGGGTGACCAAAATTTGTTTTTCAAATATAAATAATAAATAAGGGTACAGGTTATTCACAGGTCCACTGTCACTGTAGCAGGCCTCTGTTAGGAGCCTCCCCCCAACCCCTGTTTTATTTTAGTTTCAATTTTATTTTATCGTTATATTTAATTATACAGCAGAATATACAGCGGTTTGTCAGTTTTGTGACATTGAAGACACCCTTGAATTCTGCAGTGATTCTCCCCCCCTTTTCTGAGTTATTTCCCCACCATGGACGTAAATTCACTCCCCTGAAGGTTCCCATCAAACCTTTCGAGTAGCTGCTGTCTCTTTGATCCTGAAAGCTCCCAACAGAACATTTTTATTTTATTAATTTTAATGAACATTTACAGAGATTTTGGATTTCCATTCATTCATTGTTGCAGTTTTCTCCCTACCCACCCCTCCCAGTTCACTGTTCTCTTTGAAAAAAGAAATTCCTTCATTGGTATACAGTCCCACCCCCCACCCCTCACCCCCCGCCCCGAGTCCACTCCCCTATGAAACCTTCATTCTGGACCCAACAGACATTCTTAAATAACTGTTATTTGGTTTAATGAAGATTCCGAGGGCTGTTCATTTTGATGGGTTTAAAGACTGTCTCAGAGCAGTTTGGAGGGATTGGTCCAGCCTCCCATGGGGAATTCTAATTTCTTTGCTGCTGTTTCCCTGTTTGGAGGATTCTACTGTCACCTCTTTGTTCAACATGTTTTCGGGTGGTGCTGGGTGCTTTTCCAGGTGAGGGTTTCAATTGTAGCACTCCATGGGAGGTGAACCCCATAGCTGGTGGGTTTTTTATTTATTTTTTTAAAAATTATTTGTGTGTGTGTGTACTGTCAAATCGGATCTGACTGGTACAGGAGGAGATTGTCCCTCCTTCTCCAGCCGAGCATCTGGTGGATTTAAACCACATACCTCTGGGATTGCAGTGCAGCTTCTTGCCACTAGGCCACCAGAGCTTGCCTTTATTATTAATTTTAATGAAAGTTTACAGAGATTTTGGATTTCCATTCATTCATTGTTGCACTCTTCTCCCTGCCCAACCTTCCCCCTAGTTCGCTTTTCTCTTTGAAAGGTAAAAGAAAAATTCTTTCATTGTTACACAATCCCTGCTCCCAAGTCCACCCCACTGTGCAGCCTTCGTTCTGGACTAGCTGGTGTTTTGAACTCCCTTCGGTCTCTGATGGCATTGTCCACAGGGTGTCATCCTGCTAAGCCAGAGGTTGATACTCTGATGATTCTAACTCACCAGCTTCTCCACACAGGAAAGTCAGGGTCTCCTGGCTACTCACAGCCTTCAAAACCTTTCGGAGGGTCTACTCTGAGTCATTTCTGAATTGACAGTCAGGAATTTGAGGGTTGTAGGGTTTTTTTTTTTGTTTTAAGATATTTTGGGGTTTTTTCAGTCTTGTTTTCTCTCAGCCGGTCACGGCTGTCACCGTGACCCAGAACCAGCCTCAGAGGGGCCTCTGGGCAGTCCCGCAACCAGGCCCCTGCTGTTGGTTTATCCGTGGCCCAGCCTGTGTCCTGTCGTCTGTGTGCCCTTCTGCCCCTGCGTCCAAGCCATATGGGTGGTGGCCCAGTCAGAACACAGGCTCCTGCAGCTTCATTTCTCCATATCCTTTCTGGCCTAGGCACTGGGGACCCCAAACCAAAGCGAGGCTCCCCACACGGAGGCAGCCTGGACCGCAGAGACACCAGCACCGACCCAGCTGCGAAATCCTGGCCCATGGAGCCAGGTCCCCGGACGGGGGCTGCAGCAGCCGTCACCACCACCCCTGCCACCTCGACCCCCATCTCTCGGCACCCAGGCCGCGCCAAGGGTGAGTCATAGGCCCCGGGCCGGCAGGCAGTCGAGGAAGGGTCCTTTCTAAAGACTTCCATTTGTCAGAGGCAAGAGAGCTCTCGCCCTCCAAGACTGAGAGATGCTAAAGAGCAGTTAAGCAAGTGGACCAGCTTTGGCATCACACAGGCAAGGGTTCAAGTCTCAGCTCTGCTTCATGGCTGTGTGACTTTGGGTGATGATTTAACCATGCAGCATTTTACCCTCAGCTGGTGAGAGTATCAGAAGCCACTGTCCCGACGTTCAGGATTGAGTGGCGCCTGGGGAAGGTAGGCTTGAGGAGCAGAGTTTGAGGCTGTCCCCACCCCATGTTAAGATTGTTGTCATTACTGTTAAGTGCTGTCGAGTCGTAGGCGACTCATGGTGACCCTGTGAATGAAAGACCTGAACACTTGTATAACTTTCATCATTTCTCTAAGTTCATAGGGTTTCTGGAGGCAAGCTATTTCAGAAGTGGATGCCACTCTTGCTTCTAAGATTGTTTTAATTGGGGAGCTCCACCAAACACTGTCCACCATGGGGAACCATTCTCATATTTGACACATCAGTGTCACAGTGTTTAGCTTCACAGCAACCATGAGTTACCGCTGTACAGCAAGAGGACAGACGAGTGCTATACCACCTAGAAGAATGTTTCACCAAAAAGACTTAAAAACAGGCCCGAGGGCCACGGATTAGAGTCACCCACCTTTGGCTTGGTAGCATCACTTTCTGTCCAATAGGCCAATTGATCTCTCTCTGTGCTCTGCTGTTTTTAAGTGTTGCCAATTCATAGGTGACTCACAGCGACCCTATGAACAAAAGACCTGGGTACTTGTATAACTTTCATCCTTAGTCCAGGTTCATAGGGTTTCCGGAGGCAAGCTATTACAGAAGTGGATGCCACTCCTGCTTCCAAGCTTGTTTTAAACGTTAGGATTAATCTGGAGAATAAGTGGAGGGTCCCTGACGTAAAGGCCATGGAGTGGAGATAAAGGGCGGAGACATCAACACTGGTGTTGAGATTCCTCCAGACCTGCCTGGCCCTTCGTCGGCCTGTTTCCTGGGAGGTTGGCGGCCAGGCTCTCACCTCTGCTTGTTGTGGGGTGTTGTCAAGCTGACTCTTGACCATAGCAACCTCCCTGACAGTAGTGCCCAGTTCTGCACATTCCTCCCGGGCTCAGCCCGTTGCTGCAGTTGCAGTCAGTCCACCCCATTCAGGACCTTCCTCTCCTTCACTGACTCTACTTCTCCACGTGTGATGTCCTCCTCCAGGAGGCAGCCTCTCCTGAGAACACAGCCAGAGTACATGGGGTGATATCTCAGCACCCTCCCTTCCAAGGAGCTCTCTGGCTGCGTGTCCAAGACAGCTCTGTTGGTCTTGCAGACCACGGTAGAGTCGGTATTCTTTGCCTGTACCATAGTTCAAGTTCACAATCATCACTTGGTCTTCATCTTCCTTATTCTTTGTCCAGCATTTGGTTACGTGTGAGGTGATTGAACATGCCGTGGCTCAGGTCAAGCACACCTTGGTCCCAAGGTAGCACCTTTGCTTTTGGACAGTCTAAGGAAATCTTCTGCCACAGGTTTGCCCCGTGCAGTATGTCACTGGGTCGCTTGACTGCCGCTTCCATGCACATTGACAGCAGCCCCAAGTGAAGCGAAATTCTGACAACTACATTCTTTTCTGCATTTATTAAGATGCTGTTTATTGGTCTACCGAGAGAAGTCCTGAGGACTTTGGTTTTCTCAATGTTGAGGTGTAATCCATACTGAAGGCTGTAGTCTTTGAACTTTATCAGTGAGTGCTTCAAGTCCTCTTCACCTTCAGTTGTTGTTGTTGTTGTTGTTGTTTACTATTGAGTCAGAACCGACCCATAGTTGACCCTCCAGCGGGTTTTCTGAAGCATCTTTCTCCCACAGAGCAGCTGGTAGATTTGAACTGCCTGCCTTTGGGTTGGCAGTGCCACTCCTTCCCACGAGGCCACCAGAGCAGAAGCCCTAATTGGCTTACAGCTCATGACTGTTAAGTGTGAGGAGACAAACAGTGTTCCTCAGATCCCTGAAGAGCACACCATCACCAGCTGGAAACCAGGACCATGAGCACAGAAGGAGTGTGATTTAGAGTTAAATTAGATACGGGTGGGAGCTGCAGGGCTGACCCTGCACGTCCTGATGGCACCGTCCACGCGCCCTTCTCTCCGTGAGCTGGACGCACCTCTCTTCACATCTGACGTGGTTCGGGGTTTGAGCCTGGCATAGGGCAGTGTTCCCCGAGGTGGTTGCCAGGTGCCCGCTCACCAGCTCTGTCTTCATTGTAGGCTATAGTTCAGACGACACGCTCTGTGAGCCGTCCCTGGAGCTGGACTTCGCCAACCACAGGCAGTACGGTGAGTGGCTGGCGCCTGCACGCTTGCCCAGACTTGCTGGGATCAAAGGTGCCTGTTCCTTCACACAAAGTCCCACGTAGAAGGCCAGCGGTCAGCGGATTACAGCAACATTACAGTTGAAGTGGGAATGGGGGCAGGGCCCCGTGTTCCCCCAAACTCCATCTTCCTCTCCCTCCTCGGGCTGAAGCAGGCAGCTTCTGGATTGTTGTTGTTGTTGTTGTTAGGTGCCCTCAAGTCGGCTTCCTCTCATAGTGACTGAACAACAGCTGTGAACCTTACGTGTCCTGCACCGTCTCCCTCATCTCTGTTAACTCAAGCCCATATTTTCTGTCACTGTGGTTATCCGTCTCCTTGAGGGTCTTCCTCCCTTGCACTGACCTCCCACTCTTCCCGGCGTGATGGCCTTCTGCAGGGACAGGCCCCCCCCTAACAACAGGCCCCAAGTATTTGAGACAAATGTTCACCGTCCTTGCTTCCAAGGAGCATTCTGGGTTCATTTCATCTTAAGACAGACTTGCTCGTTCTCGTGGCAGTCCATGGGATAGTCAGCACTCTTCTCTCAGCACCACCACCCAGAGGCATCAGTTCTCCTGTCGTCCACTTTTCAGATGCAGAGCAGGCACCTGAGAAACCGTGGCTTGGATCAGGTCCACTTTTGTTTGCACTGTAGCACTCTGGAGAGGTCCCTAACAGCTCATCCAAAACCCAAGCCCAGTTGCCACTGAGTCAGTTCCAACTCATAGTGACCTCTACAGGGCAATTAGAGCGTCCCCATCAGGGTACCAAGACTGTAAATCTTTCTAGAAGCCGACTGCCACACCTTTCTCTCAAGGAGCAGTGGTTGGGTTCAAACCCTTGCCTTTTCCATTTGAAGCCAAGTGCTTACCCACCGAGCCATCAGTTCTGTTACCTCTGGTGATGACGAATTCACTACCTTCCAGCACGCTTCCTTTCTGGGCTCTCTGATTATGATTGTTGTTGTTGAGTACCATCGAGTTGGCACCAACTTATAGCGGACCCTCCAGGAGGTTCCCAGAGGCCGTTATCATGTGAGAGGAGGTTGCTCATCTTTCTCCCACGGAGCTGCTGTCAGATTCGAACCACATGCCTTTAGGTTAACAGCGCCATTCCTTACCACTAGGCCACCAGAGCTCCCTGATTATGATGTGATTGTTCATATACGGAACCAGAATGATTCTCCTGGTAGTTTCCACATGGTGCTCTTGGGTTCTGCCCTCCAGGTTAGCACCCTCCTCTCCCAGCAGCCAGCTGTTCATGCTGCCTCAGGCCTCCTGGGTCTGCAGCGCTCCCCAGGGCTCGCCAGCTCTGTGCTGGGAACATGCGGCAGGCAGGGATTTTACTGTCTTCATTCATTTGGGTCTCAGTGGCGTAGAGAAGCTACGTTTGTGTTTAGGCTTAGAACTGGCAGACCACTTGTCACTGGATCCAGGCTTATCGTAAGTTTATGCAGGAAAGAAACTGGGAATTACACCATCCCTCTCCAAATGAAAACTCGATCTACCTTCTGAGCATTTTTAAAAAACCAAGTACCTGAAAGAGTGGGGAAACCTTTTGAAAGGAAAATTCCAAAAATTCTCCTGTTTTCCTTTTAAGTTTGATGTGCCCCAGTGTAATGTGCACACCCAAACATAGAACACACGTAGCTGATACGCAAGGAAGTTGTGCAGTTTGCAAAAATAAAGTCATGGACATGCTGTTTGTGTAAAAATTCAGTCCGTTGAATTCAGTGTATTTCTGCAGTGACCAGCAGTGAATGTAGGAATTAGCATTATTGCCTGTCCGGTTACTTGTTTTCAGATGGTGGTTCCTACCATTCATGTAGATACAGAATGCATTCATTTGAGATACAGAAAGTTAGAGTTTATGTGGGTGAAGACAGGCTCTGTGCTGGGACAGGTTGGCATGGGGAGCCTGTATGTCTTTACAGTGAGTTTTTGTTAGGAGCAGTTGAGTTGACTACGACATATAGGGATCCTATCAACAGCCTGTCTAACCTTGCCCTTCCTGTGCTGTCTATCCCAGGACTGCCACACTGGGAACAAGCAGAGGCTGGGAACTCTCACTGCACAGCTTATTGTTGTTAGGTGCCGTCGAGTTGAGTACTGTTACTGGTGGCATCCTCTTCATAAACAACATGCCTCCGGAAACTCTGTGAACTTGGATAAATGTCCATAGTTGTAGAACAGCTTCAGGCCTTTTGTTCATAGGGTCACTATGAGTCATGCTCAACTCGAAGGTGATCAACAACAACAGCTTCGCATAGTGGTCGATTTGATGGTCCCTAACGACAGCAGGAACCCAAAAGATACTGTTTCTTATTATATCCGCAAGCTCTCCGTTCCCCTCAGTGAGAATCAGACATGTAACGTCTTACAGAGTTTTTCCCCAGCCTTGTGATAAGAATTAACATTCACAATCACTAATAAAGCCACACTGAACCACCCACCACAACACAGGTTGTAAAACAGCTGGAACAGAAACAGTGAATGTCGACATAGTGTGGAGTGGAGCCGCTGTCCCTGGTCAGTCTGTCTAGACACTGTGGTCTAAGGAGTGGGTTTTGATGTCTATTTTCACCTGAAATAAAATCTTTTTTTCCTTCTTGGAAAGAGAACTTATTTACTTCGTGAAATGTTAATTTTGGGGGCTTATGCCCAGACACAGTGCATTCACAGCTGCCCACTGTTTGGCGTGCTCACCAGGAACGCGGTCCCTTTGGAAATGTGTGCTCACTGGCCTGCAGGGACCGGAAGCACAGCACCTCCTGGTGTTTTTCCAGCTTCTCTGGGTGGTTCAGTCAACACCAGCCATGAGCTGCACTGCATAGAAGACTCAACAGCAGAGCATCCCCAAGGACTCAGCAGTCCCACAGGGGTGACGGGCTTGCTCTTTCGGGGTGCTGTGACTGGGCAAGCTGGGGAGGCCGTGATGCCAGTGTGGCTGGAGGTGCAGGCCAGGAGGGGTGGGCCTTCCGGTTCAGAGAGGCACAGCCAGCCCGATGCTGCGAGTCCTGCCCATCTGAGCAGGTGCTGCTACGACCATGCAGACACCTTTGCACAAACAGATGGGACAGTCGAAGGGCCTGACTTCCCTCCTGCCCTGGTCCCTAGGGTGGATGCCCCCTTCTGGACTAGATGTCAGTGTATGGCAAAGGAGACTAGGAACTGAAGAGAAATATTTATAGCAAATAGATGAAGGTAGGTATATAATACCTGTTCTCTATGCAGACAGGTAATAGCAAACAGCCAGGCGAACTGAGTGCTCTTTCCCTGTGAGGGTCACAGCACCCACGCTCTGTAAAGAAGGCTGACACCCCGCCCCCCCAGGGAGCAAGCTGCCCTGGGCACCTGGAGGCTCACGTGATCTCTACCCACCTGTGTACACTCTGCTTTCAACAGCCCTTCTCTTCCTTGCTCCTGCTCTCATCAAGCTGCATGCAGTTATGATCTAAGCAAAGGTTCTTCACATGTTTTCTGGAAAGTTCTATGCAGTAATAGGGGAGGGCAGGTGGATAGACCTCTCGCACACCCCCCACCCCAGCCCTGGCTTAACCTAGAAAAGCTGATTAGCTGTCTTCTTTCAGTCTTGCAGTTCTGTGTGAGATCTTCACTAACGGAATCATTTTAATCCCAGCCCTCAGGTGTTACAGTTGCCTGAACCACGTAGGTTCCCGGATGATAGAGTAGGAATTGCCCCATGGGGTTCTGAAGGCTGAGACTTTTCAGACGCAGATAACCAGGCCCGACTTCCAGGACATACCTGGCTGGGTTTGAACCACCAACCTTTTGGTCAGTAGTCCAGCATTTAAGTGTTGACATTATCTACAGCCATCGGCCTGCTGAACCATCAAACCTAACAAAAAGAAGTAAAAGAAGTTAACATTAGTAACAGTAACAGGAAGCTGTTGGTAACCTGCTGTGTGCTGAGCCTGGAATTCAGGGCCAAAGCTAAACTTCCTCATAGTTGGTTCCTTCTTGAAGGTATTTGCCTTAACTTTGGAGGGCAATTGCTTTGTTGCTTATTTTTTTTCTCAGATTTAAATGCTTTTAACCTGAGATGTAACTGGTCACCTGCCCTTCCATTTAAGGCTGCCATTTCTTTACAGTGTCCCGGCCAAGTAGCTTGGAGAGCAGCAGAGATACGTCCAGCAACAGCTCGCCCCTGAACCAGAAAGGTAAGGAAGTCCTTTTCTGTCTATGCTTTGAAAATTTAGCTCCAGATTAATTTTTTAAAATTTTTTTTATTATTAATTTTAATGAAAGTTTACAGAGACTGAGGATTTCTGTTCATTCACTGTTGGACTGCCCACCCCTCCCTTCCCCCAATTTACTCTTCTCTTTGAAAAGTAAAAGAAAAATTCTTTCATTGTTTTACAATCCCTCCCCTCAAGTTCACTCCACTGTGCAGCCTTCGTTCTGGACTCCTGTCATGACAATAATAGAACCCAATCATATATCCGTTTTAAACAGTTTTGTCCCTCATCTGCTTCAATGCAGAATACATAATTTATCCCCTCTTTCTCAGTCTCCCCCCCAACCCCGATGTCAGTCCTGTTTTACAACAGTGGCACTATGCAATATTTGTCCTTTTGTAACTGAGGTACTTCGCTCAGCATAAGCAAAAGTTTTTATAAAACCTCAAGCTCATTGCACTTGAATCAGAACTGACTTGTAGCAGATCTGTAGTAGGTTTCAGAGGCTGTATGTACATTGCACAGGAGGAGATTACCCATCTTTCCCCACTGAGCGTCTGGTAGATTCGAACTGCCCATCTTTGGGTTGGCAACACCACTCTGTATCCATTAGGCTACCTGAGCACCCTAAAGCAGTGTAGTTAACAAGATTCTCAAATGCGTTATGATAAATTCCACGCCCACAGGATGCAGTTTCAAGGACATACCAGGGAGGGTGAACAGATTGAGGTTTAAATCCCATTTCTCTACTCACCAAGTTGCTCTGGTGGCCTGGTTGGTAGGGAATGGTGCTGCCAACCTAAACATGATGCTTCTCTGTAAGTTCAAATCCTCCAGCCGCTTTAAGGGAGAAAGATGGAAAATCTCCCTCTCCAGGAGAGAGAGGTGGACAGACTCCTACCATGCAATTTACAGCTTCCAAAACCCACTAGAGGGTCCGCTTTGAGTCAGTTCTGATTCCAAGGGAATGAATTTGAGTTTTTATTCTCTGCTGGGCAGCTCCGAACCCAGGCAACTCCCAGGCCGTTGACTCTCATTCTTCCTGATTGAACAGGGATTGCACGAGCAGCTCTTTTTAATTATGGCCTGAGAACATAGTGTGGACAATTGAGATCTTTGAAGTGTTTTCAGGGTTGCTAGGGTCCATGCAGGTCATGGTCTGGCTTAATGAGTGTGTTCCCTGCATACCTGAAACGATTGTGCGTGTTCTGTTGTTGGGTACAATGTTCTGTTTTTGTCATTTGGTTCAAGTTTGTTGACAGTGTAGTTCAGGTCTTCTGCTCCTAATTTTTTATTATTCTGATTACTAAGAGAGGAGTGTTGAACTCTTACACTGTATTTGTTGTCTACTACAATTGTATGTGACATTGACCCATAATGACCCTACGAAGGACAGATCTGAACCCTTCCCTGTCCTGTGCCGTCCTGTTTCCGACACACGTGAGCCCACGGCTGCAGTCACTGTGTCGGTCCGTCTCATCGAGGGTCTTCCTCTCTTATGCTGACCCTCTGCTTTTCCAAGCATAATGTTCTTCTCCATACACTGGCCCCTCCTGATAATTATAATTAGAAACCTTTAATTGTAGATTTGCCTATCCCTCTTACTTTTGCCAATTTTTATTTCAGGACTTGGACGTCTGTTTTGTTATTTAGGATTGTTATATCCTGGTGAATTGACTTTATTCTTTTTCATTGTTGTGGAGTCAGAACTGACTCCTTGCCGACCCTTCCAGTGGGTTTTCTGAAGCTGTGAATCTCAGTAGAGGAGACTGCCCATCTTTCTCTTGCAGAGTGTCTGGTGGCTTCGAACCAGCAGCGTGGCTTGGCCTTTTGATTAGCAGTGCAAATCCCTATGGTCCCCCCCACCAGGGCTCCCTGGTGAGATGCTGGAAACTGCCTTTTCAGAGGTGGTGGCTGTTGTTACGCGCTGTCGAGTACCACTCATCGTGACCCTGTGAACAGCTGACCTGAATCCTACCCTAGCCTGGGCCGTCCTCCTCATCTCTGACACGCTGGAGCCCATTGCTGCAGTGTCTGCGTCAGTCCACCGGGTTGAGGGGCTTCCTCTCCTTTGCTGACCCTCCATCTTTCAAAGCATTATGTGCCTTTCCTCCTAACATTAGGCCCAAAGTGTCTGAGATAAAGCTTCACCATCCTTGCCTCTAAGGAGCACTCTGGCTGCACCTTCTGTTTGTTCATGAGGGGAAGTTCATGAGATACTCAGTACTGTTCTCCAGCCACACAACTCAAAGGCATCAATTCTTCTGTCACCCTTATTTATTGTCAGACTCTCAGATGCGTAACAAGTAATTGAAGAGACCATGGCCTGAATCAGGTGCACCTTAGTATTCAGACGGGCATCACTGCTCCTCAGTAATTTAGAGATATCCTTGACAGCAGACTCGTCCGTGTAGTACGTCTCCTGATTTCCTGACTGCTGGTAGCGAGAGTGTTGATTGTGGGTCCATGCAAGGTGAAATTGTCGGCGGTTTCAGTCTTTTCTCCATCTATCATAATATTGCCTACTGGTCCTGTGGCGAAGATTTTTTTTCTTGATGTTGAGATTCAATCCATATTGAAGGCTGTGTAATCTTTGATCCACTGCAGTAAATGTGAAGTCCTCCTTACTTTCAGCAAGCAAGGTTGCATCATCTGCGTAGCCTGGGTTGTTGATGAGTCTTCTTCAATCCTGATGACCCACTCCCCTTCATAGAGTCCGTCTTCATGAATGATCTACTCAGCATTGTTGTTATGTGCCACCAAGTCACTTGTGACTCATAGTGACCCTATGTACAAGAGCCCTAAGCCCTGCTCTATCTTAAGACAGTCTCACTGTTTCTGACACACTTAACTCCCATTACCCCAGTCACTGAATCGATCCATCTCATCGAAGGTCTTCTCCAAGGACTGATCCCACCTTGTAACATATCCAAAGTATGTCAGACTGAGCTTCAGAATCCTTGACTCTAAGGAGCAGCCTGGCTTCACCCTCTCCAGGACGAACTTGTTTGTTCTTCTAGCAGTCCATGGTATATTCAATACTGTTCTCCAGAACCACAGCTCAAAGGCATCATCTCTCCTTCTATCCTCCTTAGTCACTGCCCAGCTTTTTGATGCATAACAAGTGATTGCAAAGACCATGGCCTGTATCAGGCGCACCTTAGTCTCCAGACTGACATCATTGCTCTTCAGTAGTGATCTTAGAAAAATTATCACTAGTTTGTCCATCTTGTTAAGGTGAGAATGATGCTCTTTTCAGCTTCCTTCCTCCAGGGGGAAGTAGCCCATGCATTGCCCGTTCTAATCCTCTGTGTGGGACTCGCCGTCATCTCTTTCTGTATCTATATCTTTACTTCTTTACTCATCTTGTTTGTTTCTTCTCTCTCAAGACTGTAAACTCCAGGAAAGACAGGATTTTTTTCCCCTTCTTTACTTTTATATGACCACCTCTGGAAGATGCCTCTAGCCTATCCCAAATTCAAGCCCACTGTCCCAGATTCATTTCCAACTCATAGCGACCACACACACATTGTTGTGTGTTGTCAAGCCGTAGCTGACTCTACAGAGGGTTTTCAGAGGCTTTAAATCCACAGAATGAGATTGCCCATCTTTCTCCTGCAGAGCAGCGGGTGGATTCAAACCCGGTGCCTTAAGGTTGGAAGCACAACTTCTTGTCACTAGGCCACGAGAGCTTCCTTCCACCACATGGCGGGTCCTAGTGAAAGCTGTTACCAATGAATGAATGCAAACTGTCTTCCCTTTCAGCCATTAGCCATTTATGCTTTAGTTGAAACCTTTTAGGGAACACTGCTGGCAGAGTTCACAGGGAGTGACCCTGCCAACCCAAAGACCTCACTTCAGTGGTTCGAATCCATCTGCAGCTCCAGAGGCCAACAATGAGCAATCTCCTCTCATGTGATTTATAACCTTGGACACCCAGTGGAGGGTCAGCGGTGAGTCAGTTCTGACTCAGTGACAATGAGTTTGTCTTCCCCCCCCCTTGATCTTATTTTGCCCAGTGACATCTACACTAACATAGAATGTTGTTGCTGTTGTTGTTAAGTGCCATTGAGTCAACTCATAGTGACCTTATGAATGAAAGTCCTGGACACATGTATAACTTCTTTCCTTTCTCCAGGTTCAGAGGGTTTCCAGAGGCAATAAGAAAATTATTTTAATGTAGAAAAATAGAATTCCAAAGGGTTCCATAATGCCTTTTAACACCGAGAACCTGATCATGGGAGGGATGACCCTTGACTCTTGGATGACTTTGAGACGGTCAGAGCCCTGGACATGGGAGTTAGAACTGATGTGAGTTGCTGTGTTGCCCCGTTACCCAGGTTCCTCTGACCAGCTCCACGGCAGGTCCGAGAGCTTCAGCAGTGAAGACCTGATTCCCAGCCGGGACACCGTCACCCTGCCCCGCGAGGCCAGCACCCTGGGGCGCCCCACCCTTGGCCCCCTGCCCCGCAACGGGTCTCTCCCCCAGGAGAGTATCCAGAAGAGGGGTGCGGTCCAGCCCCCTGCCGGAGGGCGGCCCTGCTCAGCCTCTCCGAGCAGTGAGATGGTCACCCTGGAGGAGTTCCTGGAGGAGAGTAACCGCAGCTCCCCGACCCACGTGAGCCTGGGGCGTGGGTACAAGGCCATGCTGCAGAGCTGGGGATAGGACGGGGGTACAGGACCGCACTGCAGAGCTGGGAACGGGGGCACAGGGCCTTGCTGTAGAGCTGGAGCTAGGACCATGGGGCCACAGGACTCCAGAGTCGGGGATCGGACGGGGGTACAAGGCCGTGCTGCAGGCCTGGGGATGGGACGAAGGCACAGGGTGCTGCAGAGCTGGGGACCGGTTGGGGCCACAGGGCCAGCTGTGGCATTGGGGTGGTGTTGGGAGAATCACAGTTAGCCAGCAAGTAAGTGACTGAACGCCAGGGAGCGGCCTCAGCCCTGCTTTCCACTGGTGACATGAGCCAGCTGGACACACGGCTGCGTGGAGGTGTGGGGACAGGATGGCACCTCCGTGCTCAGAACCTCGTGCCCGTGCTGCTACGGAGCCCTGGGCACGTGGAGGGGAATTTGCTCAAGTCATTTGGCTTTTGTTGCTCCTTTATCCCAGTTTGTCTGTGCAGAGAGCCCCTTCCCCCAGCCCTCGGCTCGGAGGAACTGGCAGAGGCTACAGGGTCACCTAGGCAGGGGCCTCAGCCATGTGACAGAGCCTTCCTGCCCCCAGGGTGGCACTCAGGACCCCGCTCACTGGCCTGTGTGGTGGCTGCCAGGCCATGTGCCCTCAGCAGGGCAGCCTTTGTGGTCTGTCCACCTCCAGTCCTGGTCTGTCTTCCCCTAGCCCATTGCCCTTCTTTACTCCTCTCTCAGTTCAGGTGTTGGGGTCCTGGGTTCAGCTCGTTCCAGCTTTTCAGGAGCTGGTCTTGTTTCTCTGCCTTTGGTCAGAGGGAGAGTTCAGGTTCATGCTGGTAACTCAGCCTGGTGGAGGGCCATGGCCAAGCACTGAGGGCTGAGTGAGGCATCTGCTGCTGGGGCTGTGTCTATCCGTCGACTTAAGGGGCCACTCTGAGTGGCTCTGGGATTCTTTCCTTGATAGCCTTTCTTTACCCCCTGTCCTGACCGGGGGCACTGTGGTTGAGGGGCTAGTGTATGCCTTAGAGAAGCTGAGTAAGAGGGGACTGGGGCATCCTTGGGACCTGGGCCCCTGAGAGCCTGCCTGGGTCTCACTGCACCTCTCTGCTTCCTCCTTTCTCTGTAGGACACCCCTAGTTGCCGGGATGATCTGCTAAGTGACTACTTCAGGAAGGCCAATGACCCCCCAGCCATCGGCAGTCAGCCGGGAACTCTACCCAGGAAAGATGGGACCAAGATGCCCACCAGCTTTGTGGCTCCCACTGTCAAGCTGGCCGTCAGCTCTTCAGAGGGCAGAATACCGAAACCCGGGCAGTACGTGAGGCCGAACTTCCGGCCGGCTGAGGCTGAGGTCCCGCCTGGTGCTCCCGCGAGGCAGCCCCTGGCCCCCCAGAGCCTGTCTCTGGGCAGACCCCGACAGGGCACCATGCCCCCGACCACATCCCTGAGCCGGGCCTTCAGCCTGGCTTCAGCTGACCTCCTGCGAGCCAGTGGGCCAGAGGCCTGCAAACAGGAGTCCCCTCAAAAGCCGGCGGGCCCCGAGACCTCGATGGGCAGGGAGGCGCCCAGCCCTACACCCCCAGGGACCCAAGGCCCAGCCCGGGAGCGTGCCCCACTGCTGGGGAGGACTGGGGGCTCCAGCCAGGGCTCAGGGTCCCGCAGCCGGCCGGTGGACATGAGGCGCTTCTCGCTGGCACCCCCGAAGGAGGAGAGGCTGGCCCCGCTGCAGCAGTCGGCCACTGTCCCAGCTATTGCCACCGGGGCCAGTGTCCAGCTCCAGCACTTCCCGCCCGTGACCACCTCGGCCACCAGGACTAAGCCCAGGACGCCCCCACACTCAGGCGAGGTGGCTGCCATCACACCTGTGCGAGCTGGACTAGGCTTTGTAGAAGGGGACGGACACACGGCCCAGAGCTATGGTGAGGGACCCCCTGCCAAGAGCCCAGGGTGGTCTCCCGACTCGGCTCCCCATACCAGCCGGAACCCCGAGGATTTCAGCCGAGGGGGCAGCTCCAGGAGCACCCCAGTGTCCCCAGAGCCAGGGGGGGACCAGCAGACAGTATGGTATGAGTATGGCTGCGTGTGACCTGGGCCAGCAGCCCCCGAGCGGGGACTTCCGGTGGCCGTGGTCTCATCTGAGCGGCTGTTGTGTCTCTTTGCCCGTGGTGCCAGGAAAGGGTTTAGAGTGAGGACGGGGCTCCCACACATTTCTCCTGTTTGTCTTCTGAACGAAAGCACTGTGCCAAGCCTGACAAGGACTGCACTCCCAGACAGACAGCTGGCTTCGTGCTGGCGGCTTCCAGGAACTGATCTCATTTGAACAAATCTGCTTCTCTTGGGGCTACTTAAGGCGCAGGGTGACCCTTTACGCCCCCCAACAGACACTAGTCTCATATGCCCAAGACAACACTCATTGGCAGCTCACTGAGCTCTGTCAAAGCGCGCACACATGCGTGGACACACACAGATCACAAAGTCTAAGTGATCAAAAACTCCCTTGCCTCTCCCCAAAAACCACCTTTTCCCAGGGAAAACCCAGATAAGGGCAAACTCTAAAATCCTCCAGGGCCTGACACAACCCAGGGTTGGGCTTGTCGTTAACAGCTGAGTGCAGAAGGCCTGTTCCTGGGACTCCAGGAGCCTGAGGCAGATGGACAATGAAGTGGATATCAGATTGAGTGACCTTTTAGCCGCTCCTGTGCTCAGGGCCCACGAGGGACCATACTTCCCTGGCTCCCAGCTCTCTTTTTTCTAAAACACTGGATTGCTGGGAGTGAGGTGGAGGGCAGAGAAGCCCCCTGCCCACTCCCTGGCAGTGTACATAGTATACAGAGGGGAGTGCGTCCAGGCTGCACTTGTTTCTAGAACATGGTTCTGCAACCCCGTCTCAGAGAAGATAATGGTGTATTATATCTGAGTAACTTTTCTGAGGGGGTAGAAACCAAATTCCTTTTAATATATTACATATATATATATGCACACACAGACACTCATGTGAAATATATGTAATTATGGGGGATTCTATTTATGTCCTTTTCAGTCCTTCCCTACCAGGAATCTTATCTGCTGCTTTGTGTATATGGTCAGGTTCCTGGCAAATCCTGTTTCCTACTTAGTAAAGGTGCTTTTCCTGGGATGAATTAAGCCCACTGATTTTTAATTTTTTTTTTTTTTTCATATACTGAGGAAGAAGTGAGAGGCTTGTGAATGTTAACAGATCATTTTTCGGAGTGCTTTGGGTTGGGTCCTAAGTAGCCATCTGTTTCTGGAACACAAGGGCAGGATTGTAATAAAATGAAAAAGAATCCGCGTCCTGGTCTTCGTCGCTCACATCATCTGTGGGGGCACGAAGGCTGCTGGGGAGCTCCCTGCATCGGCGCCCCCGACCATCTTCCGAGGCCCCCTGAATCCGTGGCTGGCTGTGCTCCAGGGATACACGCCCACCCAGAGAGACACATGAAATTCAAGGATTTCCTGTTGATCGTACAAAGTTTTCTTCTCATGTTGCAGTCACTGTTCGTGGATGTGTCCCATTTTGGTATAGAACAAGAGCTTGATGTAAAGCAGGACTTTTGGTTTCCCCAGGGTCACTCAGCTAGCAATCACAGATCCAGAAGTAAGGGCCTCAGGTAGGTTGGTTGGTTGGTAATGTGCCGTGAAGTCCATTGCCACTCAGGAACCCTAGGCACAGTGGCTCTGAGCCGATCTCACTGACTCGCACACACCTACCCGTGTGACCCCAGGTACTGTGTCAGTCCTCCATCTCACCCAAGGGCTTCCTCTTCTCCACTGTCGCTCCAACCTTCCATGCATGATGTCCTCCGAGGACCTGTCCCTCCTGGCCACACGTCCAGAGTGTGTCAGGTGGAGCTTCAAAATCCTTGCCTCAAGGTCAGCCACTTCTTATGATCCACACAAGTCAATTGCCTTTGAGTAGAGCACAAGTAGACATCCTTCTGGCATTCCTTACTTTTCAGCAAGAATCCAACATCAGCAGTGATATCCCATAGCTCATATATCACCATTGAACCATGCTCACCATTTCCCTGCCTTTCCAGATCCCCTCTGGATCTTTCCATTTCTTTTAGCAGCCCCTCTTTCACACCCATCAAATTATGCAACCCTGTGATTTCCTCCCTGCCCACCCTTACCCCTCTGTTTCCACCTCTCCCCCCCTTGGATCTCCATACATGTTTTATTAGTTATCCTGGTTTTATAATAATAGTTCTATACAGTATGCATCCTTATGAGACTTGAGTTCACTCAGCATAATGCCTCCAGTCTCAAGTTACATAGTAATTTCCTAAGTCATTGCTCTTGAGTGCTGCGTAGTATTCCATCGAGTGAATGTACCACAATCTCTCAATCCATTCAGTTGTGGTTCAACAGTTGGATGTTTCCATGTTCTTGTGAAGGTGAATAACACTGCTGTGAATGGTGTACAAGTGTCTGTCTGTGTCTCAGTTCTAATTTCCTCAGGTTCTATTCCTAGAAGTGAAATATCTGTGTTGTAAAGGATTTCTATGTTCAGCTTTTTGAGGTAACACCAGACTGCCTTCCAGAACGGTTGTACCATTTTACAATTCCACCAACAGTGTAAGAGAATTCCTATCTTTCCACATCTTCTCCAACTACTGGCTTATTGTTTTGATTTGCACCTCTCTGATTGCCAGTGATTTTGGGCATTTCTTCCTGTATCTGTTGGCCATCTGGATGGCTTCCTCTGTGAAAAGTCTTTCCATGTCTCTTGCCCATTTTGTAATTGAGTTAATACCTGTAGGATCTTGTCTGAGATGGTATTGCCAGTTTTGAGCTGACTTTTGACCCCATGAGTCCGTCAGGAGAATTCTCACTGAAGTCACTGTGGTCTGCATGTCACTCAGTCCCAAGGGGCCCTCCTGTCATCTCACAGGTGTGCTCATTCCAGCTGTCTGTTCTTTCAGGCACCATCCCCACCCACCCCACCCCCAATGGCCACACCCCATCCCTTTGCAGACTTGACAAGCCCACGTGGCTCACCTCAAGGCACTCCCTAGCTCCCCAGCCTGGCTGTCCTCGCTCACCTTGGGCAAGCTCACACACATCCACCACCTTAATTACAGCCTGGTGCAGATGGCTCTAAATTTACATCCAAACTCCTCTGAACTTGCCCCCAAGACACCGCAAACTCAGAATTCCCAGCTCTCAGTTCACCGTCCTCTTTGCCCAAACTGGGCCTCGTCTAGAGGCTGCTGGACACCTCGCTTATCCCCATGTCCTGTCCTCAGCGCCATCCTGCTTCTCCCCAGACCACACTCCACGTCTACAGCTGGACCAGGCAGTGATTCTCTGTGGTGGGCACCACTAATGCCATGAAGCCCCTGTGGACAGTGTTCCCCAGGCACGCTCCCTCCCAGGACACTGTTTCTGCACTCCAGGGAAACTTGGTCTCCGGGCACCTGTGAAACATGAGGAACCATGGGGTGTGTTTGCCTGCAGCTCACAGAGGAGATCTAGCTTGAGATTAGAGGGTCTTTGACGAGAAGGGCTCACCCTAAGATCAGAAAAGTGAGAAAATCCAAGGGTATGGGGAAATTGGAGCTTTTCCATGCTGCTGGCTGATGGGAGTGAGAAATGGTGCACAGTATGTCACATCATTAAAAAGCTGGAAATACAAATGCCATTAATCCACTAATCCCACCAATAGGTATGTATCCTAACAAAACAGTTGGGCATAAATGTGCATACCCATGTTCATTGCAGCATTACTTAACAGTAGTAAAGAGATGGAAACAACTCAGGTGCCCATCAGTAGACGAATGGATAAACCATGGTCCACACACCCAGTGGATTGCTATGCAACATTGAAGAGTAAGGAAGAATTCGTGAAATGATGCATAACGTGGGTGAGTCTGGAATGACCTTATGTTGGCAGTCACAAAAGAATAAAGTCCACGGTGTATCCACTGTTATAAAAAGCTAAGAAAAGGTTTACACACAGGAAGAAGTATCCTTTGATGGTTCCTAGGACTCTGTAGATTGCCGATCAGCACCTGGCCTTTCCTGCTGCTGCGTCACTGCTCTGCTCCATCATCCATCATCCGTGCTCCTTCCTCTCCTCTCTGCCACGACTCCAGCCCATTGTTGCAATCACTCTGCCCGTTCACCTTGTTGAGGGCCTGGCTCTCCTTCACTGACCCTCCACTTTTCCGAGCTTGATGTATTTTTTCCCCAAGGACTAGTACCTCCTGACAACAGGTCCAATGTATGGGACACGAAGTTTCACCATCTTTGCCTCCTAGGAGCACCCTACTACATTTCCTCCAAGACACACTCGTTTCCCCTTTGGCAGTCCGTAGGAAAGTCAGTATTCTCCATCAACACAACTCAGAGACAGCAATTCTTCTTTGATATTCCATATTCACTGTCCAACCTTTTTTTAAAATTTTTTTATTTGTGTGTGTGTGTGTGTACCGTCAAATGGGATCTGACTGGTACAGGAGGAGATTGCCCCTCCTTCTCCAGCAGAGCATCTCTGGTGGATTCAAACTGTGCACCTCCAGGATTGCAGTACAGCTTCTTACCACTAGGCCACCAGAGCTCCCTTAAATTGAATATGCCATGACTTTGGTCAAGCACACCTTAGTCTTTAAACTGATACCCTTACTCTTGTTATGTGCCATCAAGTTGCTTGTGACTCATAGCGACCCTTTGTACAACAGCTCTAAACTCTGCTCCATCCTGTGCCAATCTCAGTGTCTCCGATACACTCATCCTGATTGCCCCAGTCACTGAATCAATCCACCTCCCCGAGGGCCTTCCTCTCCTGCGCCCGCCCTCCACCCTCCCAAGCATGATGTCCTTCTCCAAGGACCGGTCTCTCCTTACAACATGACCAAAATATGTCAGACGAAGGCTCAGAATCCTTGCCTCCAACGAGCAGCCCAGTTTAACCCTCTCCAGTATGAATCTGTTTGTTTTCTTGCAGTCCATGGTACCCTCAACACTCTTCTCCAACACCAAAGCTCAAAAGCATCAGTTCTCCTTCTATCCTCCCTTGTCATTGTCCAGCTCTCTTGACGCATAACAAGTGATTGCAAAGACCAT